TAGTGACTTAACAGGCAGTGATTAGAAATGCAGACCACTGTTGCCCAATGTGGCATGGGTTAGGATGTGCAGAAATGAAAAGTAGATTTTGATCATTCCTTTGGATTCATATAAGATACAGTAAGATCACTTTATTGACCATAGACAAAATTTCTTGTATGAGGAATTTGTCTTTTTGCATACCCCAGCTTGCTCTCCATGAGACACACAGACAGGGAGAGAAGCTTGGGGTCAGAGCGCAGGGTCAGCCATTTATATGGCAGCCCTGGAGCAGCTGGGGTGAAGGGCCTTGCTCAGGAGCCCAAGGGAGTAGGATTCCTCTGCAGGCCACGGGATACAAACCGGCAACCTTCCAGCCACAGGTGCAGATCCTTAGCCACAGAGCCACCGCCCCCCCCATATAGCTCCTTTTGTCCTAAATTTCTGTACATAAAGGATGTGACCCACTTCATCCACCCATGAAGTGCAGCAGACATTGTGCGCCAGCAGCCCCACTACACAACAGGTCAGGTGGAGAAGCAAGAAATTGCTTCACTTATTGAATTAATTGGGAATGTGAGGGTGACCAGGTTACATAAACACAGAATGGAATTTAGCCAGGACACCAGGCTTAGCATAACTACTCTTAAACAGTGCCACTGGAGCTTTAATGTTCCTTGATTTACTGTCTCATCTGAAATGCGGCACCTTCGAAACTGTGTTCCTCGTCTTCACAACGAGGCACCGATTGGGAAATTCTGATTCGGGGAGGGTGCGTCACAGTGGCACAGTGGTTAGCGTTGCTGCCTCATGATGCTGTGGCCCCGGGTGCAAATGCAAGCCTGGGCTACTGTCTGTGTGGAGTTTGTATGTTCTCCCCGTGTTTGTGTGTGGTGGTTTCCTCCCACCACGACCCTGAGTTGGATTAAGCAATGAGAAAATCTATGGATGGTCCAGAGAAAAGGTCGCCACCTACTGATCCATGAGTGCCAATTACATCAGCAAACTGCTTTCCTTGGAGGTTTATTTTTATCTAGAAATTAAAAATTGAAATACATCTGGCATTTCCAAGACCCCAGTCAGGACAGATTTCCGACAGCTCAGCCTGCTCTCCAGACTGTGGCTGTGCTATAAAGGCATGGGTCTCACAGTGGGTGCTGTTGTGTTTCCAGGGCAGACGTTTACTGTGGCACTTTGCCCCTTTGAAGGCTGACTGTCCAGTAATAGATCATGTTTGAAAAGGAAGAGAAGCTCTACTGACACTCGTAATTTGGCTTTAGGGATGACTTAGTGATGAGGTGTTAGAATTAGCGATCATCTGTCAGTCACCTGTTTAAGGCCAATGTTAAGGCTTTCAGCACCATAAGTGTCTGTGCTTGTGTTTTATGAATGGGGATCTGTCTTGACTGTGTTGGAAGTAAAAAAAACATGTGACACAGTGTGGATCCATAGTAGTGTTCCTTATTATGAAAGCTTCTGAGATTTTTAAAATTGTGAAAATCTTGCATGAGCTAACTTACATTCTGCATTTCAACTGTGTATAAACATGCAGTTAACAACACTTATCTGAGTTCAGCTTTGCTCTTAAGTATAGTCACTACATGAAAACCTTATTTTAACTTCATGTGACCTTAATCCAGCAGATTAGGCTCAGATTAAACATGGGAGCAGAGTAAAGGCTGTACTCTCTATGTGTGAGTCCATAGTCAGCAGAGGGACCTGGGATACAATCTGAAAGGTCTGGTTCCAAACTGGCTCTGACTACGACTGGGCCCTATTTGCAAAGCTTCCAATTGAGGTGATGAAACACCTGCTGAGTCTCTTCCTTTGGTATACCAGTGAGTTCCACTGGGTTTTGTCCAGTCTTCCTTTTAGGTTTAAGACTAGTGCGTTTTACTCACTGGGCTTTCTTGTCCTGTATGTTACCTGCTTTGTTAATGGAAAAATCTCACACTAAACTGGGCACTAATTATTTGTGGGGCCAGGTAAGCACAGCAAAAATGCCTAGAGATGATGGTCAAATCTACACTAAATGGAGACTTTGCCTGCATGGTCCTTGATCTATCTACTTTGTTAACAGTTGTGCTTGCTGTTCTCTGCACTGATCTTACTCTGTAAGTGAAGAGACAGACCCTGCGCTCTTGAGCTGTTTCATGTTGATGGAGATGTATGTTTGACAGGCTAGACAGATGTGTCAAAGCAGTTTGTGAAGTCCAGGAAAGAGCAGCAGGTGGTCTCTTGTTTCAAGGGGTGGCTGTATTCCACTATATCAGAGGGGGAGTTGGCAGATAACACTGGGCACGTCCCTTGATAAGATCAGCCACAGCTGCTGCAACCACACTGCCTATGCAGAACATAGACACATTGCCAGCTATTTTATTTGTAGAGGAGCATTAAATTAAACTTCCTCTCACTCCACACACGGCCGCTTACAAAAAAAAGAGTTTCTTCGATAGTCTTGTTTTTCCCTTGTTCGAGCTCATACTTCAGTAACAGATGCAAATCCCGAACGTCAGATATATTTCATTGCTGACTGCATGTCTGTCTTTTGCAAAGGACATTCTGCAAAATGACCCCATCGCTACTTGAGCATCTCGGGTTAACCCATGACTCAGAGTACAGGGGCAGATGTGAAAGCTCTCTGAGCTAGTGAAGGCATGGAAAGATTCAACCCTCCACTTTCAAGCCATTTATTAGTAGGTAACAAAATAAGTTAGCAACAGGCTATTGTTTAATTTAGTATACCTGCAGGGTAAAAAATGTACAAAAACAGTTAGTTACGGTAGTCTTTAAGGGCTGAGCACAGTTTGGGTGCAGGTTCGAGCACTAGTGACAACTGTGACTCCTACTCCTCAGGCAGTAATGTACCATTGACTCAGTACTGCCTAGGGTAGGGCTGAGATTAATCAGCTCCTGGTGATAGTGACCCCTACAGGTCTGCGGTGACAGTAGGGAGAGATGCGTTTCAACCTCCTACATGTCGCTGAGTAGTTTATAGCCGGTCTATGCTTCTGCATTTTTCCCACGTGTGTGTGTGTGGGTGTGTGTGTGTGTGGGGGGGGATGTTACTGTGAGCTGGTGGATCCGGAATGTGAGACAATTCAATGAAGAGCTATAGGCATCTCCAAATCAAAATTGAATGGAGATTTTAACAAACGTTCTGGATGACCAAGTCACTTTAACCCCAACGGTTTTAATATCCTAACTAGTCCCAATCTCATTTCTCAAACCTATATAAACAGTACAGTATATAATATAGTTATACAAGTATATAGCTGTGCCAGCATGCGTAGGCTGCAAAAGAACAGGCAATGGGTTTATTCCATGCTGAAAAGAGAAGAAAGGAAACACAACATTTCGGCCATGGAGCCTTCTTCAGGTGAGAAGGTGTGAGAACCCTTTACCTGCTCCTAATATAGTTATATATAACTATATAACTATACCTATATAAAGAACCCCTCTGTAAACCCCTCTTTACCATGCATCTCATGCACCCCATCTCCAGCTTTGCGCCTTCCCCTCGGGTAATTCCTCTCCTGAACGGGGGTCCCGCCTTCTTGTCCTGCAGCCAGCGGGTTAAGCCGATCTCACTCTTTCCAAAGTACTCAGTAACCGCCCACATATACAAACTGTAACTACAAGAGTCTCCCACTTCAGTCCTTCGGCGCCCCCGATTGGGTCAGAACTCAAACGTCCTCCGGCTCTTTGACGCGAGAGGTGACCCGACCTTATCTCTGCGTCACCGGGGCTAAAACGTCTTCCTTCGCCGAAAAAAAAAAAAATCCTTCAGGTGCAGCAATGTTAATTTAAACTGGTGAATCACACCAGATGCCAGGACCTGAACCAGAACGTGTTAATCCCGTTTTTATAGTCCATCAAAAAAGCAGTTAATACCCTATGCATTCATTTTTAGGGTACAGACCTGGGGGGTCCCTACTTTTATTGTAGCCTTGTCCTGAAGCTGGGTGTCAGACCCACATCTGCACAACTGATCCCTTTGGCTGCCCTTAAATCTGGCAGTCCACCCCCCACACACACACTCCCTAGAGGTCTGGCACTACTGTGTGTGTGGTGACCTGAATCCGGAATTCGCCATGTTTAGCTTTTGGAAACAGGCGTGATTGCTCTACGTTAAGGGGGCACTAAAGCTGTTTTCCTGAGGTTTCTTCATATCCTAAATCATTTTTCTGTTCAGGCTTTACCATCAGTTTAGTTTACTTCTTATATGACTCGTGTTGTCCCCTTTCTGTGTGGACTTCGTGGGACATGCTCAGGGATACCGATCTCACTGTAAAACACGTGATAAACATGTTGGGATGCCTGATGCCAAACCAGACTGCACGGCAGATGCAGTTAAAACTGCAGCTAAAATTCCCATGTATTCCTCCAGAGTTATTTGGAGGCTTCCGGTCTGCCTTGATTTTTCAATCAGGAGAATATTATTGGCGAATTGAGCTATCTGACATTTCCTTCTTCAACTTTGTGTCCACCCTGTGAATACTCTGTCATCATAGAGGGTTTTGTTGTCGTTTTTTTATTTACCGTTCCGGGAGAAAGCAACGCGTTTCTCGGCTTTCACCAAGAGCCTCGTTCTCTTGCGATCTCAAACATCACAGTACAGTGATCTAAAAGGCGCTGCTGCACCACTGAGGCAAGCCCAGCGATGAAGTCTGTCCAGTCTAGCGCGGTGTTAGTGAGAAAAGCTCACTGTATAGACCGCACGCGTTTTCCCGCTACACCTTGACAAAAATATTTACACGGGTCATAATTAGAACTCATTTTGGGACAGTCTGCCTCCCAACACAACCCCGTCGTTTGCTATCTCTATACCGCCTGTAACTTCAGGATTATACCGAGGACCCCTCGTTAAATCCTTATCGCCGACTGCAGTCTGAGATCAGAGGGATAATATCCATCAGATAAAACTCGGGGGGGTGTTTATGGGGATAGGGCGAGAGGGAAGGATTTAATACACCTCCCGTTTGTGCTAGATGCTTGAAGAATGACATCATTTTCATATTCTCCCTCTCTCTCGCACACACACGCTCGCACGCACGGCCACGAGCGCGCGCCGCACACGGCGAGCCTGTGGCTAGAGCTCGCGCCACTACCTACCTGCCGCAAGCGGCTGCCCCAGCCCTCGCGGTCCTGCTCTCTGATTGGACCCACCAGCCAGGGGGAGGCGGGGAGAAGTTGATTAAGAAAAAACGGGAGGCGGTTTTTTTTCTCCTCATACCTCACACCCCCCCGGCCCCCCCCTCCTTCTCTACCCCTAGACCGTAGGTTGAGAGAGTCCGCAGTATAAAACCTTCAGGGGTTATTAGGGACTGGAGCATCCTCGCAGGTTTGTCCTCGGGGGCGCAGAGCTCGATCTAGCTGGTAAATACAGTTGAGAATCCAAGTGGGAGAAGAGCAGAGCGAGAGAGCAGCTTCTTGCTCGGGCGAGTGTGACGCTGCCCGGAGATGCGGTGAAGAGGAACTAGCGGTGACACTGGTTATATAAACCGAAGAGAAGAAGGATTGCTGCTTCTTCTTTTTTTTTTTTTGCGGGAAGGTGGACGAAAAAGGCAACGCATTAGCCGCAGTTTCCCGAATATTACAATGGGATGTTACCCTGACGTTTAGCGAATTCAAGGAGCACGCCCGCAGCAGGTAAACACTGAAAGCAATGGCTTCACGGAGCCTTATGCAGTAAGTAGACATACGCGCGCACGCAGAGGGGAGCAGAGGCTGAGATTTCAAACGTGTTGGTCCGGACGGCGTGAGAAACGCTGTGGTTTCGTGATGCGTTGCGGGTACCAACGTGGGTGATGGCAGTCCTGACAGCCCGCTGACCCGCTGTGTGACTGACATCGGTGACGGGTGCTTGCGCGTGCCTGGGGGTGAGTGGGGGGGAGTCGGTCTCGGGGACCAAGAGCATCTGCGCCTCCGCGCGAGCGCAGGGACCAGGTGCCTTCACTGAAGGGGCGAGGGGTTGTGTGTGTGTGTCTGTTGGGGGGGGTCAGAGGGAGGAGAGGGAGAAGGGGCGCTCGTTTAAAATTTAAAATCCAGTCCCTCGGGGACGGAGGAGCACTAAGGAAAGGAGGGGTAGTCACGTCTACGTGCATAACTAACAGATGCATCGCTCCTTTCTGTGAAACAGACAGATGGGGTTGGTTTGACGTGCTGTTTTAGTGTCATTTTTCTCAGCGCCAGGTTCGCTTCCTCCTTCAGCCTGAACGCGCTGCACACTTAAACAGTTTATTCAGTGCCGTGGAGATTTACTGCATCCGCTGGAACGGTACAGTACATACCAGAGCGCTGGTGTATTTCTCGTGTTTTCATTCTGCGCGGGTGATTCCTCGTGTGAGAAACTCGCAGATGACAGCGTTGCAATTCAAAACGTTTTCGGGGATCTGCGTCTTCCACGCGAGTCACGCACAATTCAAAGGATCTTCGTATTTTTCAAACAGATGAGATGAGTGTAAAGAGACTCTACTCCCCGCATCTTTGCTTTCTGAACTGGTCCTGCGAGACGGGTCAAGGTGGAGTGTGCGCTGAAGTACATTTACAGACCTACAGGAGAATGGGTTTAGACGAGAGGCCACTCTGCCTTTCTAGCACAGATGACAGTGAGTTTAATTGAAACAAGGATCTCATCCAGCAGTTGTTTTTTTTTTTTTAGTGGAGTCAGGGTATCGGCTGGAACTAAATGTCTGGGTAGCTTGTTCCACACTCCCACAACCCTTTGTGTAAAAATGTGCCTGCGGTAATCAGTTTGAAAGATGTTTCCCTGTAGATTTTACTTGTGGGTTCACGGTGGTTTTTCAGTGTTGATTTGGAAGAAGTCCAGAAGGTTGACTTTGTCAATGATTTTAAGAATTTTACATAATAGACCATCCACCCAATTTCTATCTGCTCCTTCCAGTTCAGGGCCGTAGGGGAAGCAGGGACCTATCCCAGCATGCAATGGGCACAAGCCCCCCTGGATGGGATGCCAGTCCATGGCAGGGCAGACACACGGACAAACAAAGTCACACGAACACTCACATCTAGAGACAGTGCTCCCAGAAACGTCAAGTATCCGTTTGGACTGTGGGAGGAAACGGAGCGCCTGGAGGAAAGCCATGGCAACCCAGGGAGAACATGCAAACTCCATGCAGACAGCAGCCCAGGTCTGTCTCTTTAATTAGACAGGTGAAGTTCAAACTGGGGCCTGGGGAGTTCTCAGCCCTGGCAGTGAGGGACCGTCACCTGGATGGGGCTGTGTGCCAGGGATGAAGTACTGTACCTTACTGAGCTACCGCACAGAACACCAGGGTCTGCAGCAGAGAAACAATCCCCCACCCGTCTCCTTCAGGACACATACGCATCCTTAACTACTACCCTGCGGCCCCACCAAAATGCTAAAGGCTGGAGGAACACTCTCTGTCAAATTAACTGGTTGATTTCACAACTCACCTGTTTAATACCCCATGGAATTTCAGATCAGTTCCTATTTATAGGAACTTGGAGACTTGATAGTGACCTTCCAGTCCCAGGGCTGGAGGAGACCCCTGAACTATTTGACAGCAGAAAAAAAAAAGGAACGAGGAAACATCAGTAATGTAAGGTGTCCCCTAATTAAGCATGTTTAGGGTCCGAAAGCATGGTTTCAAAACAGGGAGTTAGTCTAGCTTTGTTTTCCTGTCCTTGGAGCACAAGCTTTAAGCGAACATTTGCGGAGTCGGGTCTCAGACTCACTTAGCCAGTACTGGTGCCAGAGGGGGCGAGCTGCAGCCGGTAGCACGTCAAACTGGTCTGCTAGAGCGCGCGCGAGCTCGAGTCGCCGACAGGGACCGAATTACTCAGCCCCGAGCACTCACGCGACTCCCACGGGATGTGGCTGTGGCGCTCGCGAAAATGTGCGTGGAACGGAGTCGGTGCGTGTTGTTTTTCGACTAGTTCGCGGTAAAGCCATTGTGCAGGTGAGCCGTGATGTACCGGGTTCAAATTCAGATTTTCGCAATTCGCTGTTTGCAGCCGACCCGTGCTCCTGTCCTACTCGGGAAAAAAAAGTGTCCTTATATTTCCAATTCCGGGATCTGAGACGTTCTCTCCAGCTGCGGTCATTAACCAGGAACCGCTAATAATGTGTTAGTTATTATTCCTGAAAATGGCGATATAAGCATCGTGTTCATTTTCTAGTTGCTTTTGTCGTTTATCCCCCGTTTACATTTTAATAGAGACCCGTGCGTGTTTTGAAATGGGGGTGTTGAACCAGAGAAGAATAGCATAATTGTTTTACGATTCTGCCGAAATGGACTTTAATCCCTAGGTATGATAATTTTATTGACTGTACAACAGTATGTGTGGGGAGTTGTAGTCATTTGTTTAACTATATACTGTAAGTTAATTGAGAACGAATTCGCAAAGGCTATGACTACCTGCTGCCAGGCTTTTACTGCCGGGCTCACACTGCAGTCTGTGTGGGTCCTAATGCCCCAGCATTAGTAATAGTTGCTTACACTTCTATAGCTCTTTTCTGGACACTCCACTCAAAATACTCAAAGCACTTTACAGGTAATGGGGACTCCCCTCCACCACCACCAGTGTGCACCCTCACCTGGATGATGCGACGGCAGCCATAGTGCTCCAGTACTCCACTCACCACACACCAGCTCTCAGTGGGGAGGAGAGCAGATTGATGGAGCCAGTTCATAGAGGGGGATCATTAGGAGGCCATGATTGGTAAGGGCCAATGGGGAAATTTGGCCAGGATGCCGGGGTTACACCCCTGCTCTTTTCGAGAAACGCCCTGGGAATTTTAATGACCACAGAGAGACAGGACCTCGGTTTTACATCTCGCTATACTGTAAAAAGGCGTTCTTTGGCTGAAACATAAAACCAAGGTCCTAACTCTCTGTGGTCTTTAAAAATCCCAGAATGTTACCCTGGCTAAATTTCCCATTGGCCTTCACCAATCATGGCCACTATGGCTGCACACTGGTGGTGGTGGAGGGGAGTCCCCATTACCTGTAAAGCACTTGGAGTGGAGTGTCCAGAATGTGTAAAGGGTAAGCAATTATTTTTTAAATGCAGGAAACTTGGGTAACCTTCATAAAATGGGCGACTCTTAATGTTTTGCAATCTGCATTCCTGAAAACAAGAAATCAAGCCAAAAAACCCTCATATACAAAGATTTATTTTAAAGAATACTTTTTTTTCCAACGCTATGAGAATTTTGCAGCTAGTTAAACTCCCACACCTGTTAATTTTGCTTCTACGTGAGCAGACTGTTATATACCCGGTTCCTTAATGGACTCATTCCTAAGATAAATTTCAGCATCTTTAAAAATTTATTAGTTCTTAAACACGTAGGCGGTTGCAAATCATGTGCAACTTAAGATCTTCAACCTTTGAGTAGATTAATAAACTAAATTAAAATTTCAGTTAAGGTAGCAGGTTTTTGAACCTTTTAATTTAGAGCTCAGCATGACATCACTTTATAAAGTGAAAACATTGTAACCCATTTTACATAATGAGAATACGTCTGTACCAGCAAATGCAATCAATGAGCAAAAATGATCTGCATTGAAAAGAACTTTAAAATGTCATGTCATTGACCAAACTGCTTTATACCACATGGTGTCACAGGAAACCAGAGCCTACCCAGCAAGCAATGAGCACAAGACAGGGTACACCCTGGACAGGACACCAGTCCATCACAGAGCAAGTGCAAGCCCATCACACACGGGGACAATTTGGAGGCCACGGTAAAGGCTGAGGGGGAAATGTGGCCCAGACACTGGAATAACTCGCTACTCTTATCAAGAAATGCCCGGGGATCTTTAATGACCCCTGAGAGTCAGGACCTCGGTTTAATGTCTCATCCGAAAGACAGCGCCCACTACAGTATAGTGTCCCCGGCACAATACTGGGGTATAGGACCCATACAGACCGCAGGGTGGGCGACCCCCACTGGTCCCACTAACACCACTTCCAGCAGTAACCATAATTTTTCCCAGGAGGTCTCCCAACCAGGTACTGACCAGGCTCATACCTGCTGAGCTTCAGTTGAGAGCTGCAGGGTGATATGGCTGCTGGCAGAACTTTAAAATATTTACAGGACATGTTTTGTGAAAAGACAGGCTTTCTCTTCTTCTTCAGATTTGAAGATATTGCACTGACGACTTGATGGCAATGAAGGGAAAATATAATAAGAGTCCTGGTATGCGCTTAATAGCAACAAACTATAAAGGCAATGACATATGACTTCTCTCTGTTTAATCATCAAAAGCAGCTGAACTACTAAAACATTGGTTTTCTGCTTAAAAGCCCTTTTTCTGGAGGAACTGTTGAATAAAATAGAAGTGTTTCTCTACATGACAATGCAGTGCATAGACTTGAATTAGATGTAACTGAGATTAAGGAAATATTTCTTGAAAGAACATTCTGTCTTTGTCTCTGTATACACTACAGTTTATAATGAAAATACTCATGGAACGTGTTTTTCAAAGATTTGCGATACGTGCCACGATGTTCCTGATGAAGGTTACTTCTGCTGTAGACACTTCTGACATAAGAATACTAGGCTAAATCCTAACAAGGCCGTTGTATTCTGATTTCATCACAGCAAAAGAAATGAACTTCGTGCTTTAGAAACACACACCAGATATGCCTGGTGACATTCAAAATCTTTATCTTCAGATGATTCATTGAAGATGTCGTGAGGCACTTTTCCCTGCTGGATCAAAAATCCATTCATATGGCTACTGGCAAATACAGCATATTCATCCATCCATTTTCTAACCTCAGCATCCATTTCAGGATCCCAGGGGAGCTGGAGCCTATCCCAGCAAGCAAAGGGCGCAAGGCAGGGCACACTCTGGACAGCACGCCAGTCCATCACAGGGCACACAGACACACACTCACACCAGGGCAGGTTCTCCCAGAAGCCAATTAACTTGCCAGCATGTCTTTGGGCTGTAGGAGGAAACAGGAGCACCTGGAGGAAACCCAGGTGATCATGGGGAGAACGTACAAACTCCATGCAGATAGCAGCCCAAACGCTGAAAATAAAAAGAGCAACACTAGTGCTCTGCTTTATCTGATGTTTTCTATGTTCTATTTCCTCCATCCCATGAACATACTGTAGATTGACATTTGCTGTGTCATCCCTACTTAACAGACACTGGAACGTGGAATGCAGGCAGACATTTATCTGTACCTTCACGAAACTAGCCAGGTCAGAGCCTGATATAGCTGGAAAAGCCCATGGCATGGAAAAGGAGTATAGCAGGGAGCACAACCCTGTCGGGTCAAGTGTGATCATGCCTGTCTCTCCCTCTGTCTCTCTCCAGGGTTCCCAGGCTTCATTCTCTCCTCTTGGTCCCCAGTGCTTCGGGCTTCCTGATGAGTACAGTTTCCCATGGCCTGTATCCACGAGACCCGAGCCCCCTCCCCCTCTCTCTCGGGCTTCAGCACGCCCATATCGGAGCCCCCATTCCGCCGGCTGGACCCCGACACCCCAGCCTGCACCCCCGAGATGGACCTGACCCCCACGCAGTGTGTGCTGCGCAACGTGCTGTCTGTGGACACGGGTGCGGGAGGGGGCGGCGGCCCCAGTGGCTGCAGGCAGAGCCCCACGCCCAGCGACGAGCCCCCCGAGCACTTCGCCAACTGCATGCTCAAGCTGCATGAGAACGAGGCAGGGGGCGGGGCAGAGGCGGGACAGAGTGCAGAGGGCGGGGCTGTCAGGAGCCAATCAGACGACGTGAGACTTCAGTGCCAGTCAGGGGGCGGGTTCCTGGAGGGCCTGTTTGGCTGTCTGAAGCCAGTGTGGACCATGATTGGCAAGGCGTACTCCACTGAGCACAAGCAGAGCCAGGAAGGTAAGGGCATTCCTCTGTGTGTTTATATCCAAATTGAGTTAAAGTGCTTTACTAGTTGTCTTCAAGTAAAGTTTAGAGCTTTATTTCCTTTCCGTGCAGTGAACTGGAGTTTCACAGTTAAATCAATAAGCTGGTATTCTAAACACTAATGACTTGTTTATGATGAAGTATTTGGAAGACTTGCCTTCATGTTTGGAGTTTCACAGAAAAAAACTAAACTTCCAACTAAACCTGAAACATCCAATATGCTGGGTTGCTGCCGTAGTAAGAGGGACCACTACACTGATGCAACCTGGTTCATATAAAAAACTGTCGATAGGAGAGGTTGTCATCACAAAGCGCTATAAAGAGCAAATCTGACAAAGACTGGCAATGCATAGGTATAGTTTTTCCTAAAGGTAAAGTATAGTTAGGTATAGGTATAGTTTTTAGTCAAAACCATTGCTCAGAATATAGCCCATGAATATATATTCCTTTTGAACAGCTATTGTTCTAAATCAGAAGGAAGTCCTTGTCTTCAGTGTTTGCACATTTACAGTGATGAGTCTTGAGTAAAAAAAAAACACAACTGCGCTACTCTTCCAATGTATGGGCCCTGATAAACCAATAGGGAGATAAAATAGCACAGCAGACTGTGGTAAGCAGCAATGATCTCCAAATAGATATATATATATATCAGGGAATCTTGCACAGTAATTCCACTGCTGACTTTCACCACAGGGACTTCAGTGTCACTTCATTAAGACTGCCAACTACAATTAAGAGGCTTGAAAGAGAGAGGCTTTAACATCTGCCTTACAGGATCAAGGGTAGCAATATGGAACTCTCCCACTCTCCCACTTTAAAGATTCCTGATAGGTGCGTCCCTGGACGATGGGCTGCAAGGTTTAACGTAACTTTCTTACGAGCCAAAAGACAGATGGACAGGCCTCTGTGCATTCCCAAGACAAAAAGCCAACTTCACACTGAGCTTTTTGGAGCATTTGAAAAGTGCAAACCCCAGCGGAAGTCGTGTTTCGGAGTTTGCTGTTTTCGGTCTTTGGCCATGGCCTGGGACGTGGGGATTTCTGGACACGAGAGACAGCCCCATCAAGCCCCATCAGCTGCATCGAGACCTCAATCGATCTCAGTTATAGCACCTTTCCCTGCAGATCCCCACAGAGCACGTCACAGAGATAGGGATGTGATGTAGCATGGTGTTAGGGCATTTGGAAAGTACTTAGAGATTTCGTTTCTGGTAGTCCAGAGCCGCTGATAGCACCCATGTGCCACCAGAGAGATCCTGTAGACAAGTTTGATATCAGCTGAGGTCTGTAGTGTTCGCCAGGTCAGACTACAAAGGGTTGATGGTTTCATCATTGTTTTTTTAAATCACAGGACAATGGAAATCACTGAGCCAACTCATGCTGTTTGGAAAGCAAAGCAAACTGGTAATTATATTCAGTGCCTGTGACTAGGACCGTGGTGCCCTTTTCCAGTCCCCGAGGTCTACAGTTGTTAAAGAATCGGAGAAAAGCAATAGCCATTGGAACTGAAAAGTCGAAACCTCCTGTGAAAGCAGGCCAATCCGGAATCCCTCCCAGCATGCTCTCTTGTCCTGTTCGGTCAGGACTCTGATGATTGACTCCATCCTCTGAGATCGAATCAATCTATTAACCGATTTTCTGTCCTTGTCTCTAACGATTCCATTGCTGACAATGAAAGATACTGGACTGTAAATCTCCTGGGCCAACACTGGCCTGGAACGTAGGGGCCACTGGTGCTATGCTACAGCTTTGCATCCTGGCGTGAGTGAAATCGAATGCTCTGGGTTATCTAACACAGCTACTTATAACACCTTTATAACATAGAGTAAGAGCCTACCGCTTGATTCTAAACAAACTTTAGAACTTTCTGCAAAGTCTTTTTTGTCTCTCTAACATGCTTAATTAATTTCTCACCTGAGCAATTAAATATTATGAGTTAATCTCATAATAATTTTAAACAGTACCTTTCATGACCCATTATCTGAAGATGCTTTAAGAACAACAGACCAGTTACAAATGAGAGGTACTATAACTACTGTATGTGGCCCATCTTTATCGTTTAGCAAATGGATCCCAGGATCAGATCCAGCTGTGTCTTGAAAGAAGCCAGTTATTGGCTTCAACAACATGGTTGCTCCGCACTCCCACCACATTTTGGGTAAAGTGCCTCCTGTTCTCCATTTTATATACACTTCCACATAGTTTCCACCTGTCCTCTGTTTTGTGTTTCACTATTCATTACAACACAACGAGATAGTTAAAAATAACAGGTACTGTATACAACACTTAGTCCTTTTAAAATTAAAAGCAGATCCATGGAAGTGAGTTGTAAGATAAGTTGAAAATGCTGACTGAGATCTAATGGTGGCTTTTCTTATATAATCTAAAGCTTGCTGTTGTTGTTCAATAACCACTTCATACCTTCTCTCATCAAAGAGGTTGATAGTTACATGGTAATGAAAACGTCTGACAGCCTGGAAGTCGATTATTACAGACAGATTCTTCTTGTTTCCTTAGGCTTGACAGCACCTAAAACCGATGAAGGTTATTTTTAATCAATTGAGTCATTCGCTGTGTCTACCTTATGCTAATGGTGGCTTTTGACCACTGTACGCCTGTACAAAACAGGGTGGAAATATAAAAGTTTACAGTTTTTAAAGTTTACAGTTACAGGTTCTGGAAACAGTGCAGGCTTTGCTATGAGAGGCACACAAGAGAACGTGTGGTTGTGTTGACATTTCAGCTTGGGAGAGACTTGTTGGTGAATGCACTCCACAAAACAACCGTGCTACTGCAGTGACCCCTGTTCCTGAGACAGAACCCCTAATGTCCAGGTTGCCCTGAGAGCAAGCAAAAAACAAAACAGGTTCAGACTGGAATTCTACCCTGGAGTGTTGAACGGTGGGCAAGAAACTGGTGGCCGGTTTGTTCCTCGGTCTGTGCACAGTGTGTTTGTGTTCCCTGCTGCCAAGCTGATCTCACGCCAGCCCACTTTCTTCAGCTGTATCTCTCCGCAGTGCAATTTCTTTTTTTCCACATGAAAAAACCCTCCTGCTATCGTCTGCCGGCTGCAGCCCCCTACAATAGCGCACAGGCCCCCAGAGACCCCCACAGCCTAATCTGGTTCATGTATAATTCATCCCCACACGCTGACCCAGAACCTTTCATCTCTATTAACACAGGCCTGACACACAGGCGCACGACGCTCGTATAAACACGCTCATCCCACACGTGCAGAACACAATAGCCCCGGCCTTGGGCCCAGGACAGCCGCCTGCCATCTGGCTGTAGGACACACACACAACCGGTGTCCACCACCCTAACACCTGTCCCTTCTCCCTCTCTTTCCTCTCGATGTCTGAGCCATCGGCTCCCATCTTCTGACTCCCCTGCCTTCATCTCCCGGTGCTCAGTCTCCCTCCGGGTGCTTGCAGCAGTGCGCTGTAAGACCACAAAACGCAAAGATGACACAGTGCTTGTTTCCAAAGTGATACCAGGTGGCCAGTTGCAAGACCACAGCCTTCCATCATCGCAGCAGAGTCTGGCCTGTGTGTGACTGGACCTGAATGACCCAGCCTGCACCCCCTCGTGAGGGCAGGAGGGTACCTTGTCGCTGACACTGTTCTTCCAAACTTCTTGCCCTTGTTTGTTAGACCCCGAAAAAAGTACTAATGCAGCTGCTTCAGCCTGAAAAGGAGTCTGGGTCTGTATGGTTTCAAGTCCTGGCCACACCAAATCTGGGACTGGCTCATGAGGGAAGAGCACATTGGGCATAACTCAAAGGGGAGACTAGCCCTGATTTGGGACTGAAGTGACTTTGTCCGATTTTGGATTTCTGCACTGTACTGCTGCTCTACATCACCCTCATGATTCATCCACCAGGTGCAAGTACCTGAGCCCCCAAAAGAAGAATTCATCTAAATATTGAGCTGAGCTGCCTGACTGCCCTGAGCAGGGTCAGAGAAGTTAAGTACATAATGCAGACTTGCCTCTCGTGTGGAGTGAAAGATGCTCTCACACTAGAGTTCCTCTCTATACACCCTGACCTATTGACAGGGCAAGTTCATGACCCCTGTTAAGTCATCCTTTGGATTTTTCAGGCCGTTTGGTTGGATTTAATAAAACTGGAGGAGCAGAATCTGTAACACTTTGGCCAGGGAGCTCTCGTGTTTCTGAGGCGAGATGATCTCACTACTAGACAGCGAGAATCGGAGAAGCGCCTCTGTCCTTCAGCTCTCCTTCTGTGCAAGGTTTGCCCTCGGAATAAAGGAGAGATTTGTGGATCCAATGTTACCGCCGGTGACTAATTAGTTCACTGAAAGGTTTTTTTTTTATGAAACAGCCTGCTTTTATTGGAAGCTTTTATTTTCTGCATTGCAGTTAATCTGTGCCAGTCATGAGTGTAACTGCTGGAGGGCCTGATCAAGGGTTTAATTGGCTCCATTAAACAATTAGAAGTGTTTTGGAACAAAGAACCGTAATAATCTCAACATGGGCAGTTTCTGGTAGGATGTACAGAATTCATTTTTGAAACATTCACCCTATACACAGAAAGGTTGGAGGATAGGTGCATGAGGGCTAATTGTAACTTTTGTGATTGTTAGTTCTGTTTTTTGGGGGACTTTTCCGTGACATGTGGGCTTTCTCTGCCTTCTGGTGCATCTAAGTACTTATCTGCCACAGTCATGCCTGGGTCCCCCCCGGCGATCTGCCTCCTCTGCGCTTTCCAATTGCCCCACATTAGCTCTCCGAAATCCAGACTGGAAAAGCAGACCCCCCCCCCCAACCTACCCCTCCTCTTCCCATGGCTCAGTGCCTTATCACAAAGCTCCTGCACAATAGCACTAAGCAGGATTTACTGCCTAAAGCGCATTACCCACAGCAGATTACATCCCTCAGCCTGACTGAGCGCCCGTCTGCAGCCTCAGACAGCAAGACTGAAGAATCCTCACATCCCCATACCAGCACTACAGCCCTGCCGCATGGCTCTCTGTGCGAGCTGTACTGCGGCGGGCAGTGTAGTCACCAGCGACCGACTTCTCTTAGCAGGTATTGCACCTAAAGAAACACTCTTTTTGTTAAAGGCCCGACAACGCCCACTGGTGCCCTCATTCGTGTTTTAGCATTGAGAGCCTTCGAAAGCCTTCTGCGCTTAAGATTTTCTCAACTGCTGCATCAGACCACCAGTAATAGACTCCTCGAATTTGGCACTGCAGTTTAACAGCCCTCTTCCCAATCACCAGCCAGCCAAGATGTACTTTACTTGTCTGAACTTCCACTGATTTAAAGAAGAAGTCTGTGGTGATGACGGATAATGGCGTTTATGACATAAGGACAATTGCTTTAGGCATTTTTCCAGGTGAGGGAATAAAACTCCCATTGCACAGCATTTTGAGCCGGTGCAGGTTTTGCTTACTGCAGCCTCTTGCACACAAGTGCACGGCCAGGCTGCTGGTGAAACCACCACACAGCGAGAGTGCTGCGTTCAGCCCTGGCTTGACCATTCCCTAGATGAGGGCACTGGTGTGGTCCCTCCTGTCTAACTCCCCTCTTCTCCTGTGCCCACGCAGACCTGTGGGAGGTGCCCTTCGAGGAGATCTCAGACCTGCAGTGGGTGGGCAGCGGTGCCCAGGGGGCAGTCTTCCTGGGCAAGTTCCACGGGGAGGAGGTGGCCGTCAAGAAAGTGCGGGACATCAAGGAGACCGACATCAAACACCTGCGCAAGCTCAAGCACCCCAACATCATCACCTTCAAGTAAGCTGCCCTGCTCACTGCAGCCTTCGCTTGTACACAGTGCTGTTCATACTGCAGGCAAATCGCTCCTGAGAATCTTCTCAGTTCAAGACTAAAACTGTTTAGCTAATTTAGCCTGTCATGAGTAGGATGAGTAGGATGTAGGCAGCATGGTGGCTCAGTGGTTGGCATGGCTGCCTCGCAGCGCTGGGTCCCTGGGTTCAATTCCTGGGGTGCTGTCTGTGTGGAGTTTGCATGTTCTCACCATGTCTCCTCCCACCGTCCAAAGACTTTCTTGTAGGTTGAGTGGCACCTGGGAGAATCGGCCCTGGTGTGGGTGTGTGTGTCTGCCGTCCAGGGTGTGTCTCCCCTTGCTGGGATAAGTTCCGTCTCCCGCGCTACCCTGTATTGTCTAAAACGATTCGAGAGTGGATGGATGGACACGTTCTCCCTTTAAGCCCAGGAATATTCCTATTGGGACAGATTCCAGGGCAGCAATGTAAAAATATATTTGTGGCATGGAAACTGTACTTTTGTGTGAAAGGTTACAAATGAGAAGAGGGTGTCTGGCCCATCCAGTTCATTGGATTTCAAGTAGCTGATGACCAGCAGCCTTACCTTGAAAGAAGACAGAGTGCTGCTGGGGTGGTGGTGGTGGTGGTGGTAATAATAATAATAATAATTCCTTACACTTATTGGGGTGGAGCAGTGGCTCTGTGCCTAAGGATCTGCGCCTGTGGCTGGAAGGTTACCAGTTTGCATCCTGTGGCCAGCAGAGGAATCCTACTCCGTTGGGCCCCTGAGCAAGGTCCTTAACCCCAGATGCTCCAGCTGTATAAATGGCTGGCCCTGCGCTCTGACCCCAAACTTCTCTCTCCCTGTCTGTGTGCCTGTGAGTCTAATGGAGAGAGAGTTGGGATATACGAGAAGACAAATTCCTAATGCAAGAAATTGTATATAACCAATAAAGTGATCTTAATCTTATATCACTTTTCTGGACACTCCACTCAAAGCACTTTACAGGTAATGGGGACTCCTCTCCACCACCACCAATGTGCAGCCCCACCTGGATGACGCCAGAACGCTCCCAACACATCAGCTATCAGTCTGGAGGAGAACAGAGTGATGAAGCCAGTTCATAGATGGGGATTATTACGATTGGTAAAGGTCAAAAGGAAATTTGGCCATGATGCCGGGGTAACAACCCTACTCTTTTCGAGAAATGCCCTGGATTTTTAATGACCACAGAGAGTCAGGACCTCGGTTATACATCTCATCTGAGAGACGGAGCCTTTTTTTATAGGAGTCTGTGGGCCAGGGTCTTCTCAGCCTTCAGTGAAAGTCCTGTGTCACAAACCGGCCGTCTTACAGGAGTCAGTTTTGCAGTGCTGCTGGGAGAGAAGACTCGTCTCCTCCAGTTGGCGCTAAATGGCGTTATTGAGCAGACGTTCGGGTTGAGGCCACATTCACTCCCACTACTCTGCCCAGAAAAGGTTGAATAAGCACCTCATGCGCCTCTCTGGCCTCTCACCCTCCAGCCCAACATCTTCCAAAGACCCTTTAAGGGCCACATTTGCATCCTCCCTCTTCTGCGTCCTTTTTCTGTTCTCGCACCCGCTGTAGTATTTTCTAAATCTGGCCCTGTCTCTGCTTGTGCTCGCCATTTTCCCACCAGCTCACTTTTTTCCCAAGCTAGCTGAGTTGTGCCGCAATAACTTGTAGCTGGCAGCTGAGGGCCTGTGACGTGGTGTAGGCCTCCAGTTCTGAACAAAGCACCTGGTCTCCCACTAACTTTAGATTTCATCTCGAGTTAAAATACGAGTTTTGTGTGGAGCGTCATTAAAATATTTAAACATGTACTTTTATGCCCGTGTGAAGTGGGATTGGGGGAGGGGAGGTAGGCCGGCACAGGGCCCCCAAAAGCATGGGGCCCCGGGCAGACGCCCCCTTCGCCCCCCACTCTGAGACGGCCCTGGTCAGACGGCTGGTGGCAGAAATCTGACTTGGGGTCCTCCTTCCCCCCTTGGAGATACCCAAGTCACGGCTGAGGCGCCTTCTCAAACCGACAGCTCGGAAGCTGGGAGAGGACAGACTGAAAAAAATAACTGTCCATTCTAAATTGTTAGCTTTTGTCGTTGTTTTTTTTTTTTTAATAGAGAGCCCTGACAATAAGCTTTTCCCCAAGACAGCAAAAGGTTTTTCGGACAATCCCCCCGGCCGCTCCATCTCGCCAGCTGACAAGCGGGAGCAAAGCTGCTGAGTCGTCAGCTCGACTGCGGTAAAATTCAGAGCCGTGCTGAATTACAGGCTGTCTGGGATTAAAAAGGAAGGGGAATCAATTTCTCTCATCTACTCCTAACTCCGTTAAGTAACTCTCTCTCTCTCTCTCTCTGCACCAGCCAGTGCTCTGACCTCGCAGCAGTGCTGGAAACTTCAGAGCTACGGGGCACTGTTTCTGATTCCTGTGCTCTGCACATTGCCAAGATCAGTCTAAGTGCACTCCAGACTGTTGCCATGGTTACCTTCCCTGGTGAGAAGCGGGCATCACGAGGCGGAGAGCCGTGGGTTCAGGTTTCAGTGCTAATCCCCAGACACGCGGTCTGACGCCGAGAGCTGGGCACAGAGCGGTTAAGATGTGGGCATGGACTCCGCCAGTTACGCGACAGGCTGCTGAATGCCATCAAACCAGCATTTTATTTTTAAAAGAAGACACTGAAAGCAAACATCCTCTGCACCACAGCCCAGCAATCTTGGGTGATCCTGGAATCTGAGACGGCAACTGTGCAGAAGGCGTGATGCTCAGCAAAGCACTGACCAAATCAGAGCTGTCTAAAAGGAGGTCAGGTTTCTCTGAGTAGTCATACATTGCTTTAGCTCATGTAAATCTCCGTGATGGATGTAGGCCACACCATTAGGACTCATTACCTGCCTCTTTGTGTCCAAGTAAAGGAACTCTGTGAGACTCAGAGCCTCTGAGGATGAGATGATAAAGCACTGATACCTATGACAGGCTGAGCAGTTGCACACTTCTGCAGTATTCAGTATTCAGAAAAACAAAAGACACCAAATCTTGCCTTAATGCAATACACGTATCTTTAGTATGACTAATCAAGCACAGACCAACCTTCTTGATTAAACATGCATAGAATGGCTGGAGCAATGGATACATCCTGGAGGAATTGGATTCTTCAGCCACATAGGAGCCCACTGCTAACACCAGTGGAGGTGAATTGCATGCTGCCCCATCATCAGAATTAGCAGCAGCAGGACCGGACATCCAACATCATTATAGCAACTAAGCTGAATCTGATTATTAAATTGATAAGTCTGAACCATACTTTTATGTAGCTGTAAGTCAATATTTTTTTGTCACTGCGGTCACATACGTCAAGCTGGTCCAGCTCAAGATCCTGGATAGGCTGGTGTGTCTGCAAGCAGGCAGCACCTGAAGAGTGGGAGATAATTGGTAAATTGGTCCAATTAAGCTAATTAGCAAGCCAATTCAGCTGAGTTGGAAAGATAATCTGAAGGTGCATCAGCCCATCAGGACTGGAGCTGGCCCACCCTCTCAGAGGTTGATATGCTTAGCTGGTAAGCAGGCATACTAGCGTGGGCATCTGTGTTGGTAAGCAGACGGTGAAATGCTAGTTACTAGTACACCGGGAAAGGCTGGATGTGGTCAAAAACAGCATTCTGCTGCTGCCACAATGTGTTGAACCCCATCTCTCTCTCCCCCAGGGGTGTGTGCACCCAGGCGCCCTGCTACTGCATCATCATGGAGTACTGCGCCCAGGGCCAGCTGTATGAGGTGCTGCGTGCCGGAAGAAAGATCACCCCCTCCCTGCTGGTGGACTGGTCCATGGGCATCGCGGGGGGCATGAACTACCTGCACCTGCACAAGATCATTCACCGGGACCTCAAGTCGCCCAAGTGAGTGTGGCAGCCTATTCTGCACTGCACGAGGCAGCTCGACAGCCGAGAGCAAGAGCTGTGAATTTAATTCATGCCTGTAGTCTGGGGATGGCAAACATCCCGTTGCATACCCTTCTGACTGCTTTCAGATTGGAAGAGCTGCAGGCTCTTGCACCAGTTGTGCCAGTAAAGCTAACTTAAACATTTTTTGGTTCATGAATGTGTCATTGCAGTTACCCCAAAATAAGGTAGGAAGCATTAAAAACCTAGTACCAGACTTGTGTATAAGGGCTTCCAATTGGTAAAACTTCAGATGGATCAAAATGTTGTGCAATGGCAATCTTACGGCGGTCATTACCGCTGTCACATGGCCTCCCACATTGTGGGTTGTACATCAAAGACACAAGGCCACTGCTTGAATGCTATGGAGAAATCACCTGGAGGATGGCTCTCGGCTCATTCTTTCTCTCTCTCAGCATGCTGATCACCTACGACGATCTGGTGAAGATCTCCGACTTTGGCACCTCCAAGGAGCTCAGTGACAAGAGCACCAAGATGTCCTTCGCTGGCACCGTGGCCTGGATGGCGCCGGAGGTGATCCGCAATGAGCCCGTCTCGGAGAAAGTGGACATCTGGTAAGGGGTTGAAAAGGGAGGGAGGGATAAACCAGCAACGTCTCTTTTTACCTGTGTGTGTATACACCTTGAACTGCAAATATAAATTCCCACTTTAATATTAATAATCATCAGCAGCCAAAGTGCGCCAGTCCGCTCACCACACAGCAGCTATCCCTGGGGAGGAGAGCAGAGGGATGAAGCCAGTTCATAGATGGGGGTTATCAGGAGGCCATGAGGCCAAGATTTTTAAAGGCCAGGGGGACGTTTGGCCAGGACACCGGGGTTAATACCCCAATTCCTTTTAGAAAACCCTCTGGATTTTTAATGACCACAGGAAGTTAGGACCTCGGTTTTACGTTTCATCCAAAAGTACGTTTTTTACAATATGGTGTTACCCATTACTATACTGGGGCATTAGGACCCACATAGACTGCAGGGTGAGCGTCTCCTATTGGTCCTACTAACACCTCTTCCAGCAGCAACCTTAGTTTTCCCAGAAGGTCTCCCATCCAGGTACTGACACCTGCTGAGCTTCAGTGGGCTGCCAGTTGTGAGTTGCAGGGTGCTATAGCTGCTGGCTGCAAACTTTCTGGCCATCGCATTGACTTTGCTATTTACATGTATGGGAAACCAGACAATCTCTAGGACATCTTATTAAAAGTTGTTTAAAGCCTGTTTTGTGTTGCAGTTTACAGGTCCAAAAGTGTCTGTTGCTACACCAGAGAAGGTGATGACAAGTCCTTTTCATTGCTGATCATCCTGATTAGACGCAAAGCGTTAAACATCTCCTCAGAAGGAGGGAGATTTAGCTGGAGGAGTAGACAACTGGTGCGTCACTACCAGGACATCTCTCTTGAAAAGCCCTGATTCAATAATTGATTTTGCCAGATGCACTATGCTAAAATAACCCAAAAGGCCCTCTGTCTGGCTGGGTGCCCACTCTCCATTTGCAGAGAAGACAGAACTCAAATTCTGGAGTTTGTGGGAAAGGTATCTGAAAGAACTCCAAAAAATGACATCCCTACATCCTCGGGAGACTTTCAAAGCAATAGTATGCATTTGCCTCTCAGTTTCCCACACTGCAGTGAATGTCCACGGTGTGCTTATCTGTACCTTCGAAAAACCATCATTAAAATGTTGCTTAGAGATATTGAAAAAAGTTCTTGTTCGCAGCTGTCCAGCAATAGAAACAAGAAATAAGCAATGTGCTGAGGAGCAAGTCCTACAGATCGTCTCCATCCTTGTCCTGTCTCCAATTATATAGCAGGAGTTGGGGGACGATATAATTGTACATATTTACATGATTCTCTACTCATTTTGACTTGTCGCTTTTTCCATGCCGAGCAGTTCTTCCACCCAAAAAAAACCACTTGCTCCAATTAGGATTTTAATCGCGATTTGCAGAGGACCTGCAAACATTTGTGGGCTGTGGCATGCTATTTCTGTCCTGGCACGGATTTAGTACTGTTTGTCTTAGTCCTGCAGTGTCCGGAATGACACACTGATGACCGTGAATTAGAACAGGCTGCTATCCATGGTGACAGAAGGGAAAGGAAGCACAAACCGAGACAAACGCAACGCGAGACAGCTGTGCTCCAAGCTAAGACCCCTGCGAGTGCTCCACGCCCGCTAGTGAAGAACTGACAAGCGCTTTTTGTGCAGAAGACAGCTGGCTCTCTGGGGTCATAGCTGCCCTAGTGAGCTCCCCACTTGCCCACGGCCTCAGCACACTGAGGGGGCAGTCAGACAGCGGGGGGCGGGAGGGAGATCCCCCCCCCCGTTCCCAGTGAGTGAGTTGTCATGCCAGCAGCTGACTCAGCAATGCCAGCTCTGGCATAGCAGTGGTGCCACCCCCCCGCCACAGAGACGCTCGGGGAGGAAGGACGCTGTGAATGAAAGCCTAATAAAAACAGCGGCACTCTAATTACCCAGCCGGCACTCTCTGCGCCTAATGCGGCCTGTCACAGCAAGGCGGGCCCACGCCGCCACACAGAGAGCCTTATTAAAGAGCCTTATTTCTGCTGGCACTGCGCCACACCTCCGCATGGGGTAATTACTAGGAGGTGGCAGAGGGCACTTTTTGGGAAGGACAGGCCGGTTTTAATGGGTGCGGTGGTGAGGGGTACCGATGCTTGCGACAAACACCGCAGCTTGGCCGGACCCCTCCCCCAAAACACGTGGTAAGACCCCAGAATGACCTCGCCTGGTCCTCCCACGATTCTGAGGCCGATCCTGCTCACTGAGCCCAGTCTGCGTAGACCAAAACTGTCCTCAGTCTGATACCTGGCCTGAAGTCTGTCTACAAAAGCGAGCTAAATGTCATCTTCTGGGTGGCAGGAAATTGAAAAAGCAACAGTCAAAGCCCGGTAAATGCTTAGGAACAGGGGAAGAAATGAAATCATGCAAAGGAGGGAAAATAGGGGTCATTAAAAAGAACTTGAACAATCAGAGTGTGTTCTGGTAGGAAGAAAACTATTTTCCAGGTGTTGTATTGAAACTAAACTTCTTGTAATACCTTATGCTGGCGTGTGGTTATATATACGCACTATATATATGTAGATGAAGGCAGGGCAACAGTCTATATACGTGTTGTGTAATGCTGTGCAGCTCATTGACAACATCCTGGATTGAAATGTGAGTTTCAGGTGCACATGCAGTAATTTCCATTTCTTTGACAAGAAGCTTTTTAAAACCTCTCCCATGCCAGATTAAAAATTGAAAGGACGCTAGCTGTGTTAACTCAGGCTAGAACAAGGCTGTTTAAACATTAACAAAACCCATGAAGACTCTGGGCAAATCCCTCTGCTATATATTAGCTGAAAAGGTATCTCTTAAATGTGTTTTATGGAAGGGCAGCACAGAAGGAAAGATCATTTATTTCCTTTCTCCTGAAGCTGCAACGTGAACTGAGCACAGAAAGACATGGGGAAATTCCCCTTCATCTTACAGCTTTATGTATAAGTTCCAAAAACATTGCCAGGTGAATAAAAATGAGTCCATAATGTTAGATGAGTCTTAAATTTTGTTATTACACTTGTAGCTACACTGTTTCTCAGTCTTCCGCACACAAGTCCTGCTTATTCTCTGCCGCTGTGCTGTGGTCACCATGGTGATTCCGTCAGCTGCAGTGTGGTGTTGACTGAGGCCTTGTTGTCACCCTTGAGGCCTGGGGCTCTCCTGGGTCTCACAGCCAGCACCTGACTGGGGCTCGATCCACGCCTGGCTGCACTAAAGAACCAGCGTCAGGAAGTCTAGGCCAGGGCCCCTGGGACACACAGACTCCGCTTCACAGACTCCTAGTTACAAATCCACCCCAACAGGCAGAAATGCCCCGGCTGGTAATGTCTTCCTTTAAACCTTTCACAAAAAACAAAACGCTGTTGGAGATCAGCTGTCAACAACTGGGTCTGCAGCCACGTTGAGGATGGAAGTCCGGCAAGTTCTGTGGGCCTTTTTTTGAGGCGTCAACAACTGTAACTGGTAAAATCGATCCAATGTCCAAAGTGAGCTGTGAGTTGAGTGACCTAATGAAGAGCCGTGACAGGAGACCCTACAGCCCTGGAAGATTGAATCTATTGACCTCCTCTGTCGGGGTGAGGTGGCAGAGCACAGAGACCGAGAGGGAGGCGGTGTCACCTAGAGGCGGGGGCTGGTGGACGCTGGCCAGAGCTGACACAGAGTATGTCCCCTCTATCCCTGTCCCGCAGGTCGTTCGGCGTGGTGCTGTGGGAGATGCTGACGGGGGAGATCCCGTACAAGGACGTGGACTCCTCGGCCATCATCTGGGGAGTGGGCAACAACAGCCTGCAGCTGCCCGTGCCCGAGAGCTGCCCCGACGGCTTCAAGATCCTGCTGCGCCAGTGCTGGTGAGGGGCAGGGGGGCTGGTGGGCTGGGGGCGGAGGCACTGGACTGGGGGACTGGCAGAAAACCGGGGTCCCCAGACCTCCACTGTGAGAAACCAGGGCCAGGAGGAGAACCCGTTAGCTCTCAGTCTCATTCACGCCCTGGTGTGTGAGTGTGTGCTGGTTGTCTCACCCCTATTATCATGTCTTCTTCCTGGTAATTGTTTTGATTAGATCTAAATGCGTGGTTTTTCTAGAGTCCCATACAGGAGGCAAACACCCATCGTGAGGCAGATTTTGGATATGTCGTACTGTGCATTGTAAATTATCGGTCACTGCATTCCCGTTTCTTCCATCTTGGTCCTGGCTGGAAGAATAGTGGGCAACCTGAAGTGTTATATAAGGACCTCAGACAGCCTCCAGGGACATAGCACACCCCCGCACCCATCCATCCATCCATTTTCTAACCACTTCTTCCAATACAGGGTCACAGGGGAGCTGGAGCCTATCCCAGCAGGCAATGGGGGCAAGGCAGGGTACACCCTGGACAGGACGCCAGTCCATCACAGGACAGACAGACACCCACTCACACCTAGGGGGAAATTACTCTTTTAGCAATTAATTAGAAATAATTGCAGATCAGCAAGCTCCTTAATGCAGTGAACTATGTAATCATGGACTGTTGAACGGCACTTTTTGGAAACGTCTCCAGCATTCATTAAACAGAGTTATTCTATATGAGGAAAACCTCACGCTCACCAGCTGCGTCGCCGAGGGCTACAGGTCGCCCATCTTCAGGCTAGAATGCTCAGTGAGACTGCGAGAAGACCTAGCTGAAGGAGAAGTTAGAAAGCAGTTTCTGCCACTGCTGGCATTTCAGGGGTGAAAAAAGCACAGGAAACCAGGAAAATGTCAGGTGTACACTTTTTTATGGTGGAAGGTTTGATGAATACTGTCCTAAGCCTACAGAAACACCTCTCAACGCCTTCTGTACTAGATTAACCAAGACTATGTCTAACAAGACTATATTCTAATTGCTTTATCCAGTTCAGAGTCACGGGAGAGCCAAAATCTATCCCAGCAAGCAACAGGTGCGAGGTAATACACACCCTGGGCAGGACACACATAGACACACATTCACAATTTTCCAAGAAGCCAATTGACACAAAAGGGCCAATTTTCCCAGCCGCTGGACTGTGGGAGGAAACCTAAGCGAACACAGGGCAGAACACGCAAACTCCTCGCAGACAGGAGGGTGGCGGCTGGTTCGGGGCCCAGTCAATCCTCATTCCCTCCGCGGGCGTGATGGACACTCAGATCGAGATATCCTGAGTGGTGGCGCCCTACATGCACGGAGACCCAGGAAGCCCTAAAATCTCCTCCTCTCCCCTCTCCGTCCCCAGGAACTGCAAGCCCAGGAACAGGCCCTCCTTCCGGCAGATCCTCCTGCACCTGGACATCGCCTCGGCCGACGTGCTGTCCACCCCGCAGGAGACCTATTTCAAATCCCAGGTACCTTCCCCCGCTCGCCCAATCACCGTCGATGGAAATCAAACAGGGGGACGCCCTCACCTCCCCCCACACACACCCCACTCCTCCTCTCCATTCAGCATGGTGACGCAAATGACCGAAATGATGAAAAGCCTCCCCCGTCTGACCTCGCCCCCACCCCCTCCTGCAATTGATTCCCCCCGGCCAGCGTGACGTCAAGAGAGCCCTGCAGCACTGATGGGCCCCATTGATTGCTTTAATAGCAGCCGAGCGGCAGGCTGGGTCCTGGACTGTCAGGAGAGTCCATTAGCTTAATCATCACAACCCTCCCCCCCCTCCACACTCACACTCCCAATGCCTCCTGCTAACACGCACACACACACACTCCGCACAGGACAGGACAGGATTGCGATGCTGCAGTGAAAGGCAAGGTTACAAGGAGGTAGCGGCACTGCTGCTGCAGAAGACACCGTCCTGTTTGAACACCTTTCAGAGTCTTTTGAGGGGGCATGCAGCTCTAGGACTTCATGTCCCACATGCTCTTCAACCTGGCCGACTTCTCACATGAACTCTTAGTGCAGTTAAAGCCATTCAGATCCGGGGGGGAGTGAAAAGTGAGGGACCCAGCAGGTGGGGGTTCTGAATCTGTCCGCCCCAGATCTGCTGAAAAAAGGGCTCAGCGGCGTAAGCCAGGATTTTATATTTGAGGTGGTACCACAGGACACCTATGGAGGTGGAGGGGGGGCATTTTTCAATCAGATTATTTTCCTTCTAAAACAGGATGCACTACTAAGAGGTGTCCTGCTATTCTTCTCTGCACCAGTAACTGTGACAACCCCTGTTTGACCTCGCGGGCCAGAGCCAATATCTCTTGCAGATTTCCCCAAGCGGCAGGGTAACCATCTAGAGATCTGATGCATATTTGCCTCACCAGTCATTTGCAATACAGGCTACACGTATGCTCTTAATAATAATAATTCCTTACACTTATTTAGCGCTTTTCTGGACACTCCACTCAAAGCACTTTACAAGTAATGGGGACTCCCCTCCACCACCACCTATGTGCAGCCCCACCTGGATGATGCAACAGCAGCCATAGTTCTCCAGTACACTCACCACACACCAGCTATCAGTGGGGAGGTGAGCAGAGTGATGAGGCCAGTTCAGAGAGGGGGATTATTAGGAGGTCATGATTGGTAAGAGCCCGGGGAATATTTGGCCAGGACACCAGGGTTACACCCCAACTCTTTTCGAGAGACGCCCTGGGATTTTTAAAGACCACAGAGAGTCAGGACCTCGGTTTTACGTCTCATCTGAAGGACGGCGCCTGTTTACAGTATAGTGTCCCCGTCACTACACTGGGGCATTAGGACCTGCACAGACTGTGGGGTGAGTGACCCCTACTGACCCCACTAATACGTCTTCTGGCAGCAATCTTAGATTTTCCCAGGAGGTCTCCCATCCAGGTCTCCCATCTTTTGTTGGCAAAGGGAAGACAGTGTGGGATTTTAGGCGGGCAGCAGCGGGGGTGGCGGAGCCGCATGTAGGAGCTGGGGCTGACCAGCCGCGTGCTGTCTATCGCAGGCGGAGTGGCGCGAGGAGGTGAAGCAGCACTTCGAGAAGATCAAGTCGGAGGGCACGTGCCTGCACAGGCTGGACGAGGAGCTCATCAACCGGCGCCGGGAGGAGCTGAGGTATCCCACCTGGGGGGGCGGGGTGCTGTCACCCCAGATTCTGCAGGGCGTCTATGCGGTGTACAGTGTGACATTTCCAGTTTTGGAGCCCCAACACCCAAGTGTACAGTTTGTATATGTAGAAAAACCCCGAAGTTGCTTATATTATAATAAAGCACAGGGCAAAGCCATTGACAGAAACTGGAAATAAGCGTTTTCACTCTCTGACTGCAGTTTCAAAAAAAGTGCATATTTTGGAAAAGGATGTAACAATAAAAAGCATATTTAATAAAAACAGTTTTGTGAGTGGAAAAGCGATGCATTGCCCATGAATGTGGGGCAGCAGAACTGGTAGATGAGCCGGCGTGGTGTCTAAACAGCACTCTGCTGCCCTGTGGGGCTCCAGGTGAAATGGCTGACACCGCGGTCTTGCTCCCGGTGCTCGCAGGCATGCCCTGGACATCCGAGAACACTACGAGAGGAAACTGGAGAGGGCCAACAACCTGTACATGGAGCTCAACGCCGTCATGCTGCAGCTGGAGCTCAAAGAGAAAGAGCTGCTCAGGTAAGGTGGGAGAGGCCCCAGGGTGCAGGGTGTAGGGCACAGTGTGAAGGGACAGGGCGTAGGATTCAGATGAGGGGACAGGGAGCAGGGTGCAGGGTGAAGGGGAAGGGAGAGAGGACTGCCTGGGGGATGCGGGGTGGAGGGTGAAGGGGCAGAGTGTAGGTTACAGGGACAGGTACAGGGAACAGTGCACAGGGCGCCCACCATCCCACTGCAGAAGCCCTCCTGGGGCTGGTGGATCAAGGAAAATCTCCTGAGGCTGGGTGGAGGACCGGGGTGCTCTTAGATCTCATTCTGGATGTGTGCATGTGTGGAAATGTAGCTGTAAATCTTACCATAGATCTGACATTTTAGCTGGTGCAGCATGGTCAAATGTTGTTCCTTCTTGACAAGAAGTGTGTAACTAGCATTCTTCCATTTCTGCATGTTAGTATATGGTTCTTACTTGTGTTTCTCTTTTAATTGAAAAAAAAAGTCTCCAGGAGTATTTGGGCAGCTCCTGCAGTCAGTGCATTGTCAGACGGGATGTCATGATTAGGATTGGGATGCGGGCTGGGAACTGTATAGGGTTGTTCAGGATCCTCCCTGCACTGCCTTTGGGGTTTATGTGGTTGCACCAGGAAAGTGTGGGATGTTTTGATGGGCGCAGAAGGTATGCTGATGGGAAAGTATGGGTGAAGCAGGAGTAAGCAAATACCCCACAATCTGTAAAAGCATGTGCCGTATGTTTAACCCCCTCCCATACCCCGGGAGCACAGCAGGGCATCCCGTCCTGTCCAGCCTCTTCCTGCTGTGTGATGTTGCTGACTAGTCCCCCCACCTGTGTTCCCCAGAAGAGAACAAAACCTGGACAAGAAGTACCCAGGGCTCTTCAAGCACCACAGCTCGCGCCAGGGAGGGCCCTCCAACTCCATGGAGAAGCTCATCAAGAAGCGCAACGTCCCGCAGAAGCTGCCCTCCCACAGCAAGCGGTGAGCAGCCCCTGGCCCCCTCTCCCTCGGCCGCTTCCATGTGTGTCTTCGCCTGAGTCCCGCTCCGGAGCAGTTCCACCCAGTCAGCTGCGGGATCTTACCTGTAATGTTGGTTGACGATTTGAAGACGGGAGGCTTTTTTTGAGTTCATTTGCATAGAGATTAGAAACGTTATAGTGTCTGCAGCTCTTGTCCAAAGCAGTGAAAAGCGGTTTTGTTTGCAATTTTTTGAAAGATCTAATACAAAAGAAACAGCAGCACAATTTATTTGAAGGGTATGATTTATGGGGAGGAAGTAATGGAGAAACAGATGACCGAGAACCTGTTCACACACTGCAGGTTATTAAATAACCCTCAACACAAGAAGGAAGATAGATGTTCCTCTGTAGTTTGAAATAGATTTCCTTTTACCTGAAACTGATGTGATGTTCAGTTGCTTGTCCTTCAGTTTCTCCCTCTTGTCTCTCTCTCTCCCCACAGGCCAGACATCCTTAAGTCGGAGGTGATTCTGCCCAAGCTGGACTCTTCCATGACCCAGGTCACCATCCCTGCCTGTCCCAACAAGGGCTCCACATCGCCGGGTCGGTCCCGGAGAGGAAAGACCCGCTACCGCAAGGCAGGGGGAAAGGGCAGCAGTGGAGATCTGGCAGGGCTGAAGGCTGCCCTCTCCCCGGCTTGTCGGGACCCGGCCGCACTGCCCACAAAGCACCTGGACCCTAGTGCCGCCCTGCGCGGGCTGCAGCACGACCTCCTTCTTAAAAAGATGTCCTCCTCTAGCCCAGACCTCATCTCCACGACCTTGGAAGCCGAGGAACGCAACAGGGGAGAGCCTGGCTTGGACGGGGGCAGTCTCAGTGCTTCCGCGGGGCTGGAGGGGGCCGTGGCGGCCGAACCCGGGGGCGGAGCCGACGACCTCACGGAAACCCCGCCCCGCAGCGACACGCCCAGCGAAGACGCCGCCTCCATCCCGTTCTCCAGCAGCCCCGATTCGCCCTGCGGCAGGGGGGGCGCCACGGGGCGGAGCTCAGTGCTGGGCCAGCCCCGCCTCCCACAGGAGGGGGAGGAGAAAGAGGAGGGGGCTGGAGTGAGCCGAGCTCCAAGGGGAGCAGCCGGGGGCAGCGGCCAGCAGCACCTAACTCCTGCAGCTATTCTCTACAGGGCAGCCGTTACCCGTAAACAGGTACTGAGAATCCCTAAGCAAATCCTGTAGTTCCTATACTCTAGTGTACTAAATTATTCTGATTCTCAAAAACACTTCAGGCCTCTCTCCCCCTTGAACCACTCTAATGATTATATTTCAGCAGGTATCAACCACACGCCTCATTTATACCCTGTACAGTCTCTGATGTGCTTTAGAAATGCATTCCAGGGCGTTTTGCACAAGAACCTTATTCAGATTTAATATTCCCAGAGACCTCTTGTTATAGTGGGAGGGAGGCATCCCCCCAGAAAAAAATTCCATCACCCTGACATAACAAAAACCTCAATCGGGTGTGCATTAAAGGTAACATTTCCTAAGAACATACATGAAGTGCTACAAAGGAGAAGTTAAATGAGCTGGGGTTCTTCACTCATCTGAGACAGACGGGAGGGGGAGGAAGGCCTGACCTTAGCCCCCAGGAGGGAATCTCTGCCACTGTGTGCAGCAGGAAGACCAGACAACCATGGTTAGCTCAGCGCGATCTGAAAATATCCCGTTTCGCGTCTCGAAAAGGTCAACATACGTTTCAAAGCGCTCATGAGTTACTCGTGTGGAACAGTTCGGTTTATTTTGAAATTTCATCGCAGGACAGACACAAACACACACAGGGCTAATTTTCCCAGAATCCAATTAACCTACCAGCATGTCTTTGGAAGAAATCCATGCAAACACGGGAGAACCTGCAAACTCCCCACAGAAAGAACCCCAGGTCTGGAATTGAACCCGGGGTTCCAGCACTGCGTCACTGTACCGTCCAAATAAATGTCAGACTGCAGTACCCGATGTGGTGATAACCTTGAAACTACTATTTTTCACAATGTAACACAATTGTTAACTCATGACATACCAGTGGGCCAGTCAGGATAACAGGGCGAAACGTGTGACCCGTTCCTCTCTTGTCTTGCTGACAGAAAAGGGGTGTGTCTTCAGAGGAGGAGGAGGGGGAGGTGGACAGTGAAGTGGAGTTGCCACGGAGACAGAGGTGAGCGGTTTATGGCAGATGTGTCGCGGTGCTCATCTGCCCTCTCTAGAGCAGAGAAAAGCCTATGATCTCCCCCAGGTTCTTGTGTATTTTTAGACTTCAAATGCAATCGGACCTTTGTGAAAGTCTTAGGAAAAGAAGAAGATTACCTGAATATATGTATAACTCGAAGGCACATTTGGATTATTTAATTAACAAAATAATCCAAACACAAGTCAATGTGCACGTGTGAATAAGTCTGAACTGTTGGATTCAGTAACTGGTGACACCTTGAGCAGCCAAGACTTAACTAGACCTTTTCTATTCCTGGAGCTTTCAGTTTCTCACACCGACTTCAGGATTTCTGGCCCTTTCTTCCTTCCAGAAGTGCAGAGGGTGCCCTTGCCTGAAGAGCTCGCTTGAAGTCAATCACTGGAAACCGGCTGAGGCCCCTATTGCTTAGCAGTTACTGAATAAACAGGTTCTCAGACATCTTCACACAACGATATCATCTTGTGAAATAATCCAAGTATATCTTCTCTCTCTTTTTGTTGGACGTTCCATCAGGTTATCTGCATCATTTAATCAGGTTTAATTTTCATCTTTCATTTAAAAGGGGAACTGCGGTCCCAATTTCTCAGAACAGTTATTAAATCTCGGTAACAAAATATATTTATTGATGGTAGAGGGGGGAAAAAAAAGACAATTTTCAAATTAAGCACAAAATCGTGAACTTTGTGAAAGTACTGCAAGTGGCCATGTTGACGCAAACCCCCAGCGAGAGCTCCACGACATTGTGACGTGATGAGGCCCTTCCTGCTCACTAGTCACTGTCCTGACTGATGTCATGTGATGTACGAGCGAACAAGTACAGGTTGTGCAGCACACATTTCAGTGCAGAAATGTTCCAACACGATCTGAATGCATGAATTAACAAGTAGGTTCCAGTTACCGGCAAAACTCTCTTGAACTCGAGAGCATTATTTCTATTGGATTAAGAGAGATGTATTCAGAGGCCTGCTTGTTTAACAGTGTAATGGGGCCACTTCATCTCACTGGATGTTTTCTTGCCTCTTTCTGAATAGCACAATATGGCACTGTGCACACCTGGGGATTTAGTTTATTCTGTGCTATAAATCTGATGTTTTACAAGTTACTGTGTACATTTGCCTTTTATTCTGGTTTGAAATACACTCAATAATACTGATTCTTTCTATAAATATAAAGATAGCATTGCAGTTCCCCTTTAAACGTTCATGAAATTGCGTCCTGTTTTAGATCTAAAATGTACAAGAACCTCTAGAGGGGTTCACAAACCTTTACTCTGGTGGGGAGGGGATGCAGAGAGGGGCAACGTATTGAAAGTCTCTCTCAGAACACCAGTTTGTAATGTGATTTGTTTTTTGTATTTTTATAGAGTTTGTAAAGACTCAGTACCAGAACAACACTAATCAAATTCTGTACTCTGAGATGTGTCTGTCAACACTTAACATCACTGCTCATGGAAGCAGGGTCTATGCCATCTCAGGCAGTAGAGCTCCGTTTTCTCACTTGGGGTTTATGTCCGTATCATAAATGTGTGCGTGACATTGTTATCGAGGTGTGGAGTCTAATTCTATCAGCAGCAATGAAGTTAGAAAATAAATGAAACAGCTATGTTTGCACAGATATTTATGAGCGTTTTTGTTAATACTTTGTCCAGCAGTGCACACAGTCAGCAATCACTTCTCTGTTCAGGTTTCTTTGTACAGGATATTGTTGCAACAGCCCATCCACTATAAATGACCCATTTTCTATTCAGTGCAAGGTCCATCTTCCCTCATATAACTCACAAAGCATAACAGAGAAACATGCATTTTCAAGTCTCAGGTTTGCTCCAAATATGACACAATTAGCCAGCCTCTGACAGGGGTACTGCAGCACATGAAAGCAGTGGCGCTTTGCAGAAATGCGAGACAGTGAAAAAAATCAAATATGTTCAAGTTTTACTAGAGGTATGAACAGCTACAAGCTAGGACTACCTGCACATTTAGGAACATGTAGCGATTCTCCATTGAATCAATGGTGGAACAACACAGGAAGATCATAGATTTTAACACGCTCAGCATCTGGTGTGCAGCAAACAAAATATGCCAGGGTGGGCCGCCAGCGGGACGGGGGATGGGCAGATGAGCTGGCATCAAGTCCTTGTTGGTTCTGCACCCCTGCAGGCGGCCGGCAGGCATGACGAAGTGCCAGTCCCTGTCCACCTTCAGCTCGGAGAACCTCTCGGTGTCGGACGGCGAGGAAGGCAACACCAGCGACCACTCGCACAGCGGGACCCCGGACGTGGTCAGCACCAACACGGACGAGCGGCTGGACGACAAGTCGGACGACCTGCTGTCCCAGAGCTCCGAGATCCCGGTGGACGTGCTGCAGCAGTCGGACGGGCTCTCGGAGAAGGAGGCCGCGGTGCGCGAGGTCAAGACCCAGCTCAACGCCGAGCAGAGCGCCTACGAGGTAACGCCACTGTCCGCCACAACCCCAACCTCCCCCCCGACGCCTGCTTAACAGCGAGTCGTACAGCGAGGATCTGCGGACCTGATCCCAGGGATCTGCTGTCTCTTTCTCAGTGTATCCCTGCTGAGCTCCGCCTGGCTTAATGGTCACCGTAGCACTCCAGCAACGATAGGTTACTGATCCTTGACCAAGTCATGCTACAATAAAAATGCACCTCCTGAGTGGTAATGGCGCTGTATAGTTTCCCTAGACTATATACTGTAGCTGTGTTAATAAATATCCAGCTTCTGCACAAGCATCTGTGTCAGGCCCTGCACCATTTTGTCCATCGACCCATTTTCTAATGGATTTCTCCAGTTCGGGGTCGTGGAGGAGCCAGAGCCTATCCCAGCAAACAACAGGCGCAAAGCAGGTTACACGCCAGTCCATCGCAGGGCATAAACGGACACAGACACAAACACACTCACACCAGGTACAGTTTTCCCAGAAGGCAGTTAAACTACCAATATGCCTTTGGACTCTGGGAGGAAACCAGGGCATGCATAAGGCAACCTATACAAACATGTGGGGAACTTACAAACTCCACCCAGACGGGACACTATGGGGTCCCAGCACTGCCTGCATGATTTTATAAACCTCCTAAAATACCTCTTCTTCACTAGATGCAACTGACCATACAAGAATAAAGACACTGCTGTCCATACAAACTCCTCATGCACTGTCATCAATTGCGCCCCATAACAGTAAATATGACTGTTTACTATAACAATTTATTAGAGAGGCCATTTAAAAAAAAGCTCAGGCAAAACCACAATATGAAACCTTCAATGTAAGCGACTCTGACTTAAAGAAAAATAATACTAAAGCTTATTAGAATAAAAAATGGAATTGTGTGCTGTCGAGTGAAAACAAATGTGTTCTGACAGTTTAGAAAACAGTCCTGAAAATCCTCTGAACCTTCCACCTTCTGTTTTGGACCAAAGACACGTTTTCATCCCTGTTTCTTCAGCGGAATTGCACAGTTTTGAAAGTGCCATTCCAGCAAGGGGGAATTTCGCCTTGGGTGAAGAGCACTCAGCTGAGGGCCTTCTCACCTGGGACAAGGTGCTAGAAAAACCAGCTGACGTTTATTGGGGGTTTGAAAAATGGAGGAGGCTTTGCAGCTCGGCGAAAAGCTTTAGAAACTTTTCAGGGTATTCCAGGAAATCCCTTCACGAATATAGGTTTCTTAGCATTATGTTCTATATTAGTGGCACTTTTCCTCTGCTGCAATGTGGCCTCTGTTGTCACATAAACAGAAGGTCACATGACCTCTCTGCCGTGATGCGTATGAAAGGTCACATGACCACTGCTGTAACGTGTATGAAAGGTCGCGTGACCTTTTCTGCATCCCCATAGGTCATGTAACTTACCACATCAACCTAGAATCCAGATAGAGCCCCTGTTGGTTCTAACACTAAGCTTTATTCCCCCCTTTCAGAACCCATCCCTCTACGACGACTCGGACTGTGACAGCGCCGAGCTGGACCACTCGGGCAGCGCGGAGGCCAGCCGTCCCTCCAACACTGTCACCTGGTGAAGACCCCAAGGACCCCTTTCCCACCAGGCATCTGTATATATCCCCCCGGCCCCTGTGGGGGCCAGTCTCACCCCATTACCAACCCCCACAGTCCCTGGCCAGCACCCCCCTCCACTCCTGGGGAACAGGGGGGCTTCTTTTCATCCTTAAATTTTACATTTTTAAAAAATAGCTACTTATTTATGGACTGATGATTCTGACTGCGCAGGTGAAAGGAGAGGGAGTCCCTCTGGTCTGGTCTGGTTCAAGGCTGGTTCTGGGCTGGAGCTGGTCTGGTTCTGAGCTGGGCTGGTTCTGGGCTGGGGCTGGTCTGGTTCTAGGTTGGTTCTGGGCTGGTTCTAGGCTGGAGCTGGGTTGGGTCTGGGGTGGACTGGTTCTGGTTCTAGGCTGGAGCTGGGCTGGTTCTAGTCTGGTTCTGGGCTGGGGCTGGACTGGTTCTAGGCTGGTTCTGGTCTGGGGCTAGCCTGGTTCTAGGCTGGTTCTGGGCTGGTTCTAGGCTGGAACTGGGCTGGTTCTGGGCTGGGATGGTTCTGGTCTGGAGCTGGGTTGGTCCTGGGGTGGGCTGGTTCTGGTTCTAGGCTGGTTCTGGGCTGGCACAGGTCATGAGCGCTCACCATGGTCCTGGACGGCAGCGGCTGTTGGTCTACACAGCTCTTCCCTGGGCAGGAACGCCTCTCAGGAGCCGCTCTCTTTTCGGCGCAGAAGCAGGCGATAGTCCAGGCCCGCGGGCCACAGGGTCGACACCCTAACTTCCAGAAAGCTTGGGAAAGGTCAAAGAAACACGGCGCTCCCGATATTCATATATATATATTTATAATTTTATTGTCCTTCTGCTGCAGAGCCCGAAAGAACAACCGTTGTTTACATTTTTATTTTGTATTTCCGTTCACACTCCCAGCTGTCTTTTTTATATTCAGGGAACTGCATTTTCAAGGTTTACGTTGTCGATTTGGATGTTTTTCTTTCCTGTAAATAGTTCAGGTCTCTACACTGTACAAAGAGAAACATCTGAGAGACGGTATACTCTACACTGTAAAACACACTGGTGCTGATGCGGCGGCAGAGAGACACGGGTGCGGGGCGGTATTCCAGCTGCTGTAACTTCCAGGCAACACCGAGTCGGGGGGTGTGAGTGAGGTGGGGGGGACGGGGGGGGGAGGGGCTCCCAGTCCTGGTCCTGGACAACCCCACACTGCTGCTCATCATTCCAGTGCAGCTCCCTTAGAGCAGCGCTGCCTTAATTCAGACTGCGGGCAGCACGACGGTACATTGACCTCAGCATGCCTCACAGCGCTGGGGCTCCACGTCTCATGAATAATAGAATTAATAATAGTAATCTTATTTGATACAGCACCGTTAGAGGTGGCGTCTCAAAGCGCTATATAGAATGACAACAACAAAAAAGAAAAACTCCATGACATACACAAGGAAAAAACACGAGAGGAGACAGTAGATGGGGGTACTGTATACGGTAGGAACATAAGGGGGGGTATGTAACAGAATCAATTAAGTTAAACCCCTTCTAAAGAAGAATTCCGTACCTTGGGTGCCCTCTGTGTGGAGTCTGTATGCTCTCCCCGTTTCCTCCCACAGTCCAAAATCATGCTGGTAGGTTAATTGGCTTCTGGGAGAACGGCTTCCTGTGCACGTGGACTAGTGTCCCATCCAGGGTGTAGCCCGCCTTGTGCTCCTTGCTTATTGAGGAGCTGGCTCCCCTGCGACCTTGAATTGGAAGAAGCGCTTAGAAAACGGACAGATGGAGCTGTCTGCCTATTTTCAGCTTTTTAAACACGTTGGGAGGGAGGGAGGTGGGGGGGCAGCTTTCACTTATTTTATTTCATAAGCAACGTAAGACCTCAAACATTTGAGTAGAAAAGAAAACTTGTCAAAATATTACAACCGAGGAACGCATCAGCGCTTCAATGAGGTGATGAAGGTGGGCTGGAGCGAGGTGTGAGGGGCTTTCAAAAAAAAAAACACCAGGACTGGTGGGTGACCTCTGTTCTGTGGGAACTATTACAAATACAAAATTACACAAACCATATGAAAGTATTCCAAAAGGAAAACAATCCCTTTAAGGTTCTGCTCAGGTGCACCTATATGCAACTGGAACTGTTTGGCACAGAGTGCCACAGGCATGCAATTCAGATTCACTGCATGGGCTCAGCTCAGGACACCGGAGAGAGACAGGGGCACGAATTGGGCTGCAAGGGCTCGTTGGACAGGGCGAGAGCTGAACCTGGTTAGGAGATTTCTGTGCTGCCCCTTGGCACTCTCTCTGGTGTCAGACCCAGAAGCAATACCAAACCAGACTAACCTAAGGTTTAAGGGCAAAGGGGGGTGGGGGGGGGGTGGAGGCAATGGCCTTCAAAAACAAAGCGAGATCTTTGTTTTTAAACTTTATGAATGAACGTTGGAGTGTGCAGCTTACAGCAAGTTAAGCCAAGTCCAACCTTTCTTTTGCAAGTGAACTCAAAAGTACCTCATCCAAGCAGACTACTGTTATGATCCCCAAACAGTAGGTTTTTCTACACCTTCTAAAACGAGCACTTCTAACCTATCACCTTGAATTAAACAAAAGCTTATATATTTTGTATCTGGATGCAAGACCTAAGAAGCTCTGACCCTCAAGCGTTTCGCAAATCATGATTTGTACCGAGACTTTTACGGGTGTTGCCAGCACAGTTAGGGAATACTGCCCTCTGGTGTTGAAAGGAGGCATTTGTAGGAAGTTTCCAATCATACTCTGGAAGCCATAAATCTCAGCCTCGTTTTAAAAATGTAATTGTTAATGTTTTGTTTTGATTTTTTATACCGCATTATGTATTGTATCTGTGTACTATAGGAAATGTATTTAAAAAAAAGAATGAGAAAAGGAAAACATAAAAGAGAAATTAAACTGCACTCTGTTAGAACAGAAACCTGAAGGCAGTTTTTTTTTTGTTCCAAGCAAAGCGTTGCATGTAATCACCAATCTGAACGTTTTAGCCTTGAAACACACATACCATCATCTTCCCATCCCTCCTTAGGAGCAGTTGAATTACTAGAATATAATAAATACAAGTACTAGAACGCTAGAATGGAGTTTTCTAGGAGCACGATGTGTGAAGCCGTTACAAATGATCAAATTGCCAGTCTGCGACTGCCTGGGCCAAGCTACTGCTTATTTAGTTCAAGCAAGAAGCTGCGTCAGGATGCGTAGGCTGCAAAGGAGCAAGTAAAGGTTTAATTCTGCACTGAAAAGAGAAGAAACCACATTTTAGGTATGAAGTCTTCTTTGGGACACATCCAAAGTGAAGAAGGCTGTTATGTTTTTTTCTGCTCTTTTTCAGCATGGAATCAACCTTTACTTGTTCCCACTGCTTCTTTAAACCACCTTTGCAGGGCCAGCGGGGGTCTCAGCACCGGGGGGTTACATCGTTTAAAAACAATCCAACAAGGTGTAAAAGAAAGGACTGGGACTGTGCAGAATAGCCCTGCATTTGCAAAACATGCATTTGCAGCTTATTTTGGCATCTCGCACCCAGGATGGAAATTCACTGGTGCCCTGCGATGCCGGTGCTCTAATCACATCAAAAATGAATGGCATTTTTAATTTTCTCTCCAGGGTCCGTGCACCGCCGTTTTGACAGCACCTTGCTTTTAAGGCGTTTTAGTGTTCAATGAGTGAACAGAGAATAGTTCAGCGGCTCGAAAAATAACTGGGAGTTCAGTCTGGCCTATAGCCTCCATTTCCCAGCTGTAGTTTGTTTGCGTGCATAGTATCAAGATGAGGGCCACATCCCATGAAACACGAGCTTTTTAACAAGGACACAATTAACATGGAAACATCAAGAGACTTTTTAACGGTTTTAATAAGTGATCTTCAACAGTATGCAGAATCCAGGTCTACATTGTTTTGAAACCAGTGCAAAGGCTAGATCTGAAAAGTCTACTTATAAAGAAGGGTGCAAGAAGCTAGAGATCCAAAAAGTTATCTTTAAACCATCATTCAAATTATACTAGTTGCCCCATTTTAGAGATCTTTTCAGAGGACAGACCTTCTAGTAGTTTAGAAAGTGTTAGTGCTGGTTTGCAGTTCTTTTAAATTCATAAAAATTCAGTATCCTCAGCAAATGCAGATCCAGTTTGGATATTCTAGGGAACGCACAACTCTCTCCTCTTCTGTTCCTTGGCACCTGACCTGTCATACTCCCAAAAAACAACAGGTGCAGTGGGGAATGGGAGGGCTGGAATGACACGGTGAAAAAAGTACCCAAAGAAAATAAAATGACACCAAAGGGCACTGTAAAATTGCACCCACCCGTGAAAGTCTTACCCATCAAAATTCAGAATGGAGACCAGATGTGCACAGCTCCTGTCCTTGAGGGGGCATAATCTTTAGGCTTTCACTCCAGCCGAGCTCTTAACCTCAAACTACTGGCTTAACCGGACCCATTTAAAGTTTTTCCAAGAGTCGTCATCCATCAATAAAGGGTGATTGTGTCTAAGGAAACATGCAGAATGATGATAGTTGGGCATCGGAGATTTAGAGCATGGGTAGGCAAGGGATCTTCCATTCCCCCCCCATTAGTCTTTGTTCCACTTAAGAGTTACTAAGTGATCACCATAACCTGGTTCAATTAAAGTTACAAAGTCATTAGTGAATATGTTGGGAGATATTAAGGTCCTGTAATATGGACAAGAGACAGGATTCCCCATTCCTTCTGGTTATTATTCCAACCGAGCTCCTAAACTAGATTAATTGAAGCCTTAATTGCCTTTAACATTTATATAATATATCCAAATTTTTAAGTGCTATAATTCACAAGGCTGCCTGGTAACGACCCCTCTATCCACTGTAGCATGGAGACAAGGACATTCCCACCTGCTGGAACAACTCATATTTAGAACTGTAAAGCCTCCTCCCAGGAGATGCAGCAGTAACTAGAGAGGGTGCTGCAGGCACCTGGAAAGTTGTAGAATGTCCCAATAGCACAACCATTCCTAATCTCAAAATCATGTCCTAGCAGTACTCGGCTAATTGCCAACCACCACTGCTTCAGATAAAAGCAACACGTACAGTAAAAGACTAAAGAATAAACCCAACTAGTGCACTGTCATCAAATTAATAAACCAGTGCGGATTAAATGTTACACAGATAGATGTGTCAAACACTCCTACAATAGGCACTGGGAATTCTGCATGGGTACGTAAATATCTAGAATATAAAGTAGTAACTTTTCAGTATAGGGTGACCGCAATTTCCAGCTCCGGTCCTCAAAGTCAGAACACGGCAGTTTATCTGAATTTCCTTCAATTATGAGCTCTCAGAAGATGTGTTCCGCATTCTCCACTGCCTTAAGCAGCTGACTAATGAGCTGCAGAAAGCCTGCTGGACTCCAGACCCCAAGGACAAGACCTGGAAACCCCTGAATCAATCACAATTAAGGAGCAGGCTACACCACAGAGTACTACTGTAATGAACAGGCATACATGTTCCAATACTGGAGTAATCATTACTCATAGGAGGGGTGCTCATCTCCAGGGCTAGAGGACAGCAATCCAGCAGGATTGCAGGGATCCGCCATCTCCAGGACCTTAATCTCAAAGAACTGAGGAAAGGTGTTAAACTGCTCCAGTTAAGCCATAATGTAGTTAGTGCAACAGGGTTCAGGGCACTGAGTGAGGTACAGAATCTAATCCCAGCAGGGGCAGGGAGAGCTGCACTCTTCACATCAGAAGCTGAACAGAGATGAAAACCTGTGGACTGAGCAGTCCTCCAAGACTGTAGCTGTACATCCCCGACAGTGAACACGGGCCATGTTGCAGTGCCTTTGGGAGGGGTTTACAAGATACATCCCTTACACACCAATGTTAAGAATCCAGAATTTATTTAGATCAAATTACTATAACAGGGATAGGACTGACCTCAGTGGAAGCATGGGGTTTTGCACTTTCTCCCCAAAGGTGGGATTAATAATTAAACAAAAGAACACAGAGATAATCAGTCCATCTATTCTTTTTTATTTTGTTTTTTGTTTTTTTTTAATTTTTCTTTTTTTTTGTCGTTTTTTTAGAAAAATCTGACATTACAGAACTAAACTTAAGCCTATTCAGATTTTTCACTTCTACACTTTCTGATGGTATAACAGAAACTCAAAATATGAAAAGGAGAGAAAGGTAAATGGTCTTCTTTTCAAAAACAAAAAGGAACATTAAAACCACCGATCAGATGTAAAGGGAATTAAAAACTGAAATCCTTAAGGAAAAAAAAAAAAGATGGATTTATTTGTGGGTATTAGTTTAACAAAAATAAAATAAGTATGAAAAAGTGGATTGTGGCTTTAACTACTTTAATGGATTTTAATGGGTAAAAAGTAGGATTTAGTGCTGGGACTTTTTACATGTCAGTTGGTTGCCAGTCCGGTCGCTTCCGAAGACAGCCTGGAACAAGACATTGGAAAGAAAGAGAGAAAATGCGATTTCCATTTAATAGTTTTAAACACGGTATCATGATCTCAAACAGTGAAAACACACTAGACCTGTCCAGCTGCCATTTTTCACATTAATATAATATATATTTATATGTTACATCTTCAAATGGCCTTGAGCTCCAACCACCTTTCCTCAATTAATATTAGGTAGTGTCCAGTGATAATTAAAGGTTACATTAAGTCATTTTTCTGGGAAAAAACACCAAAAGGGTTTAGCTATAAATATCTAAGGTGACACCATAACTGATGAACACTGACTTGTTCATACCAACTTAAGAAGTAGTGATATTTAGGTCAAGATCCATCTGAATCATGTTGCACTAGTCAAGATATCCATGGCAATTTGTAAAGAGTTCTACAGCTGTAAGATTCTGTGAAACAATTAAGTAGCAGTTTGTGACATCTCTGGAAGGTTTAAAAGCCACCCAACGACCTGAAAACCTTTAGTTCAAAGCACAGCAAAGAGTAGAATACATATGTAATATAAATGGTACTCCATAGGTTTCCAGGAAATAATTTTATGACAGCTCTTCAACTGCAAATAATCAGCATTGATTGACAGCTCACATGCACAATGTTTTGATTTCATTTACTTCAAAACAAAAGCCTTGAGTGCGGTCTTTTAAAGTTCTACTTTTTCCGAAACAGAATTCAGCTGTTGCATCTCATATCACAATCTTTTGAAAATATAAATCCAGCCGGTAAGATTTCCTAGCTAAAATGTAAATAAATGACTAAGGACTCCACAGCAGTCATCACTTTTTCTTACAAAACACCCAAATTTATCTCCCCAATGTATCTGTGCTTCTGGTCTGATTTGTGCGACAGCTGCGGAGCTAGGCCTCTTTAGACAGATGGTTGGAAAACACTTTCAGGTGTACTGAAGCACAGAAGGGTCTCAACTCTCTCCAAGTAGGAGGACGTGCAGCTTTTAACCTAAGTAGATTTCCATTTGTGCCCAAGATCTGCACAACCATCAATGATGGACAGTTACGTGAACTTCCAAGAAGACTTCAATGTAAAAGAAAACTACAGAGAATGACCACACCAGAAAAAAACCCACCACCCACCCAACCCTCTGAGCAGACAGCAGGCACAGGCAGATTATACAATTCAGTAATCAGTAACGCGAACAGATGGCAGTGCAGGAAAAGCTCCATTCCACACAATTGAATGAAAAAACCTCAACCTGCTTTTGCAGGACCACAAACACATTTAAGCAGACATCAAAACTCCCTGGAATTGATGTATTTTATTAGTTACAGAGAAGATATGGCAAACAGATCAAGGCTTTCCATCATGTAATAGTGTAGAGCAGACACAGAGGGATGGGTGCAGTGACGCCCAGCACTACCCAGGGGATCAAAATGACAAGTACCATAGGGAGTCACTGACTGGCCCCACTCCACACCCACTCGTGCACAATCTAAAAAAATGAGCCAAACAGCACCTCTGACGAGCACAATTTTGCGATAATGCTTCCACGAACAACAGCAAAACTTTATCCCAGTCCTAACTTGTGGTAATGCATGATCCAAATACAAAATAAAACGTGAAAGATGTGAAAGGAAGCCTCACTTGGCAAAACCCAATTTAATTATATAAGGTTATTACTTCCATGAGGAATATTCCACTGCTTATGGCTTTTAAACACGTTTGCTTCATTGTGGTCAATGGTGCTCTTTTCACAGAGAGGCCTTTGTAATCACAGTCCAACGTTTTCCAGATTTTGAATTCCAAATATTGCTCTCCCCATTTCCACCACTATTAAGACCAGTCCAATAAGGCCGTGGGCTTTGGGAACATACTTGATTGCCATGCTGTATCAAGTCAGTGGACTCTTGTCTGCAAGCTTTGGAGCCAGCAAAAGAGACTGCAGACGTTCTTTGCTTGAAGTTAAATATATTCTCAATATACAGGCAGAATGTTAAAGGAACAAACTGAGCAATGCATTAGAGCTTCATGTTTAAACTGCAGCAGCTAGAATAAGATTCTTTATAATACCTGGAACCCCCCTCCCTCCATAATCTTAACTTTCCAGACAAGGCATCATCCTAATATCATCCTAATATTTCTCACTACTCTAAGACACTCTCTGGCTTAATAGCCACCTTTATCCGTGACGGTGTTAAGATTCAGGCTAAATCTAGTCACTACATCCACTTAAAGCAACAAAGCATGTTTGACCCCAACTGAAAAGATCACATTAAAGAGCCAGGCCATTCCCAAGCACAGTTGCTGATGCTTGCAAGTGTTAGCCGCCACTTTGCGGAGAGAAAAACAAAACTGGCAGCAGTTCAAAAGTGAAGTCGGAAAACGGAAAGCTTCCTCGATCCGATGCAACCGTTGTTAGCCGTGAAAGTGCATGGCCAATAAGGGGAAAACTGGGGAGTTCGCACAAAATAATATGGGATCAGTCTTTATAAGGCAACACTAAAATCCTCTCCAGAACACCAGCAAGAGAACTTAGAAGTGAAAAATTACAGTGGCGGCTGGGGGGGGGTTCTATGGGATGCCAGAAGAAAAGGGCTTGCAGCAGGCTTAGTCCAATACATTACAAATAAAAAAACATTACAACCCAGGACACAAAGCGATTTAAAAAAAAACAAGCCACTAGTAAGGAGACAGCCTTCTTTTCTTGGACTTGGAGGCCAGATCGGAGGAGCTCAGTTTGTTAGCGGTGCAGGGGACCGCTGCCGCGCCCGTGCTTTCGGGTGGCATGGCGGCGGCGGCGGACGCCACCGGGCTCTTGGCGGGCGCACTAACGACATTGAGGGCCAGCAGTGGGACGGGTTTCATGCCAAGCAGACTGGAGACACACACGGGGGAGCTGGGGAGCGGGGAGTCGGAAGAGGAGGCGGAGGAAAGGGGGCCCGGAGCCAGCAGGGAGGAGAGGGTGATGGAGGCTGGGGAGGACACCACAGAGGAAGAGGAGGAAGAAGAGGAGGAGGAGGTAGCGGTGGTGGTAGTAGTAGTGGTAGTAGAAGAGGGGGGGCAAGGCTGACAGAGGCTCATGCTGAGGTGCTGCTCGGGATTCGAGGAGGAAGGTTTAGCGGACTCTACGCTGTAACAGAGAAAGAGAGAAAAGGAAAAAGAGGGACACACAGTCGGGCTGGGTTACTGGGTAAGGCGAGGTGTTGGGAGAGGGTGGCAAGGGGTGGGGACCTAGCTTTACAACGGACGCACATACAAAACAGGGCGACATTCACAGACCACATTTCACAAGACCAGAGACTTTACTGGCAGAGTAGTTAAGTACAATAAAGAAAAGCCAGATTTACTCATAGGTGACTCTAGTTAATCGAATTCATCTGATGCTAACGTAGTCATTTCATTCATGGGTATCGTTTCAATGACAACTGGAAAACGACACCTTGCCAAATACAAAGTGCATGTGATGAGGAAAAAAGTTATTGTACTCGTAATCCGGTTTCTTCTTTAACGGTTTGCAGAGGTTTCAGTTTCTACAGCATGGCATTAGCCGACACTACATAAATAAACGCCAAATCTGCCAGTGAAGTCAAGAGTTGGGGGTAGGACACAGTGTACATGTATATTAAATGGTTAATATGCGTTACACAAGGTTATAGCCTTCTTCAACTAATATCGTTTTGCCAAGAGGCAGTGGGCCGCCTGTCCACAGAAGACTTATAACATAGCAACAATACTGGATTATGACCAGTATGCTGCATTGGAATTTCAATGCTCCGAAAAGCTTTTACGTTAACAAGTTAGAGTAAGGAGTACCTCAGGGGATTAACTGCATTTTCAGCTTTTCAAACTGCTAAGGGAAATGAATTCCTAAAAATGACTATTTCTACGCGGGCTTTTTGTTCCCCCAGATTTTTTAGATTTTCCCTTGATAGGAATGTAAAAAAAAGGGTTATTATCCATCTTGGAAAAGGGTTTTTTAGTAAGCGAAATGAGAAAATTAGGCTAAATGAATGGAGATGAAAAGTAAGTTGGTGTTGCACACATTTTCAGACTGTCAAGCTGTGTAAACCAATTCAACTGATCATAAATTATAGAACAGGATCCCAGAGGCTTATTCAGTGAACTTAAAAAGTCCTCAGAATCAAAGAACGTTAGCAATCATTGAAAACTGTGCTCAGATCTCAGAACTTAAATGAGCTTCGGGCAACACTAAGAGACCAAGAAAATCTAGGGTGCTACTGCAGGTTATGTAGGTGCTCAGAGGTGAGGCTGGGGGTGCCATCAAGGTCCTGTCTACAATGGTCCAATGGTACGGTCTGAAATGTGGAATTTATTCTGTAATTCAACTGATTAAGCAATCCCTTCCGTGCCCAATCTGCTGTGTAGTGGGGCTACTGTGCATCACCCCAGTGAGGACTGTACTTCAGAGATGGATAAAATGAGCCCCTTTCTAGGTGCAAAGCACTTTTGGAACCTTTAAGGTGAAAAGCACTATGTAAAATGTAAGGAAGTATAACATTTCAATACATTACTAAAAACTAAAGGTATCTGCCTTACAGAGTGATCTCCTTAAATTTCTAACATGTAGGACAGGGTGATCAAGAGAGACCATACCATGTTTCTACAGAACAGATTAAAAAGGTGACCTTTTCAGTAATTTTCTCTTTTGAAATTGTCCCTATCACTCCTACAGAGATCATTACCTATTCGTTTATAAAATCACCTCGACTTTCGGCTCTCGTCTTCCTTAGCCACTACACCATTAACAAGCAGCCACAACAGAGGCTCTCAGTTTTTTTTAGCATCCGAGTGAAAACATAAGGCCCTGTCAGATGGGCCCACATGAACACAAAGTCTGAAAATAAGAGAAAAATATTCCCCATTGCTTTGTACTTGAGGATCGTTGTTCAGTGATAAATGTCTGCTTAAATGGTCTGAAGTGTCTTAAGAGATGACCCTTCAGCTGAATAACACTCCTGCTCCCATTCGGCAGAAAAAAGGTAAATCAACATAAAATCACACAAAGGAGATGTTAAAACTGTCCATAAGATCAACACCAAATAGGGTGTCTGGTAAACCATTTTAAAAGGAACCCCTGGCTTCAGGTGAGTGCACCTGTGCCCCTACAGGTACGTTACTGCCTGTGCCCAGCTGCCCCCAATAAAGAGTGCCATCGATCGTTTACACCGAGCTCTTACCTGGCATTGATGAGGTACTCTGCCAGGCTGATGCTGGCCGGTGAGCCAGTGATGGTAACTTGCCGATCTGTGCTACCCTCTACCGGGTTGGCGATTTTGATCTGTGCGCCGGACATCTGGCGAATCTCATTGATTTTGGCACCTTGGCGGCCAATGATGCATCCAATTAGCTGGAAAGGTGGCAGTGGTGTAGAAAGGTTACATGAAGAAATACAGCAGGAACAAAACACAACTTCACTTGCAACTGAGTTGCTTGCTCTGTCTCAGTAGCTGAAAACCTTAACCTTGGGAAGACCGTGGCTCTTCATGAAATCTGGAAGGCATTGTGCACTGCCACAGAAAAATGCAAAAAACCCAGAGAGGACAGAGCATTATCTGAATGTCAACAAATCAAGACAGGCCTTTAATATAACCTTTAGCTTTGCTTACTGCCAATTACCACCATCAAGTGTGGGCAATCAGGAAATCAATTCTCAAAAACAACCTATTCTAAAAGATCAGAAATACACAATCCGCACTTCCAATGCATTCTGCAAACCCTGATAAAAGATCCAAGATCATATTTGCACCTATACAAAGCAGCCAATAACCATCCATTCAGCTTGATCATACCTTCTCAAACTTTACTCAGCCTCTGAAGGTAGCCACTGCAGCTGTTAAGATCTTGAAGAGACTAACAAATCTAAATGGATGGTAAATGATCTGGAGTTGACTGGCAGTTCTCAGTCCAACAGTACAAATACAACCTTAACTCAGTGATCAGTGTTGGCAAGACCAGGGACCCCAGCCTGCTCTGGGGTCTGCAGACTCAGCACAACAGAGAATGGGCAAAGAGGCAGGGGAACGGAATACTTACATCATTTGGAATGGTGAGCTCATGAGAACTGGTCTGGGCTGAGGCATCCATCCCTGCTAAAAAGTGAAACGTACAGAAATCAGTCATTCAATTAAGGAACAACCTAAATCCAGATAGCAGGAAACTGCTAACATAAACCAGCAAACAGTACCCACTCCTAATGTACACAACACAACCTTAGGCATAACTGTGAAATACGTGACAACCTATTTAACCCTTGAATTTACTACCCTTCTATGATTTAAATCTATACATTGAAAACCAGATCTATCCCCTCTTTATTTGCAAGTGCCGTCCTCTCTGAATGTTGTGCTTTCTTCCCAGCACTCCCTGTACGTATTACACATTTTTAAGTCTGTGCAGGGCTTGTCCCACAGTATTCCAATCTTTGACGCATGATGTGCAGTCTGATCTACCAAATATCATTCCTCTCTAAACCCAACCCCTCCAGAAGGAGGCCTGGGAAACCATGAGGAGATGCACTCAAAATCAGGCTGTTAGGGCCTTCCCAGATAAGTCCTATCTTACGAACTGCCCGAAGCCAGGAATTTCATCAACTCCTCTAAACCAAATACTCCCCCCTCCCATCCCCCTCAACTCCCTGGTGGGAATATGGCACAAAAGACCCATATGCAGCATGCTTTACTGTAGCAATGATTTAGGAGCCCTTCCCCCATCTGCCCAAGGTCTCTGAATACTATCTGCTGTACAGCACTACTTCTCCCCTGGGTATATGGGCTTTGTCACACTAATCGGAGACAAACAACAGGACTGTCAGGACAAAGCATTATTAAAAAAAAGTACAGAATGTTCAGATGTTCTAATCTAGACCACAAACAATCTGGAGATAAAAAAAAAATTCAGATAAGCCAACCATTTCCCGAACATTTAAATTTGGTGCATTATAAAAGGAACAATGTTATACTTTTGAGATCAGGCACAATTGCGACATATCACTGTCTAACAAAAAAAAAATCAACTTTTTATAAAGTTTGGTGAGACTTTCAGAGTTTTGCGCAAAGGAATATGAACCAACAACTGCTGCCCAGGATGATTAAGCATACTTAGAAGTTAGACAGGACTCGATAGCATGAAGCGGCTTGTCCTTCAGTCTGTCCTCATCCAGCCACTGCAGTAATAAAGAGATACTGAAAACTCCCCACCCAGCTACCTACCAGTGAAGCCAGTGTTACTGGGAGCCAAGGGGAAGGGGCTCTGCTGCATGGCCAGCTGGTGCAGTTTAGTGAGCTGCGGGCAGAAAAACAGAACATAAGCGTTAATGTGGAGGAGGAGCGGACCATCTTTTACCCCAGTGTTTCAGCACTACAAACTCGCCACCTAGTTGCACACACCTGGACTGAAAAGACAAGTCTGCTCTACAGGCAAACTGCAAAAAAGGTGACGCACGACGCACTGGCTCAAGGACCAAAGTGTGGTTTACAAAGTGCACTGGTTGAACAAACAAAACAAAAAAGTCCTCTGGAGTCCTGAGGGTCTTCTCACATCACACTGCAGAATTTGAGCTGTGCTTTAGTAACAGATATCCCAATGTTTCACAGAGGTAGGACACAGTTCTCTCCCAAGAACCATGAGAAACAACAACTCTTAAGAATTCCCAACTTCCCTTCAGACTCCACGTTATATTATGTGAAAAAGTGTTCACTTTGCTAAAGCTCTGCTAAAACCCCGCAGTTTGCAATGTTTGGTACAGATCCTGTCTTGACGCAAGATTGGACGGCAGCACCACCGCTGACATTGCACATTTCGACTTGTCAAACTTCAAGGCTGAAAAATACATCCAGTGTTTTTCAAAACACAAGAAAATAAAACATAGCTGACTAAAATTGTTTAAGAAAGGATTTAACCACGCCAGATGTCCTACAAAGGTATACCAAAAGGTGAAAATGGAAGAAAAAAAGGACAAGACCTCAGACCTATTAAGCACCTACTAGCAAAAGTATCCCAAGCTTCCAAAGATGGAGTGCAAACTTAATGTTATCGTATTCCAAACTACATTATCCCACAAAACCACACGGTATAAAAGCACTGGGCTCAAGTGACCAAGTGTCACGCAGTCTGCTTCACTATGGAGCAGTTTTCACAGAACCTGTAAGCAAGGGAGCTTCTTCAATCCTTATGAAGTTTAATCCCATGTAAGCAAGTTTACATACATTGTTCCACCTAAAGAACGCTCTAAAAATCCCGAAAGATCCTCCTTTCACCGACAAGATCAAAGATGGAATAATTGAAATGTCTTCAAAATCACAAACTGCCTGCTTTATTTAGAAAAAAATGTACATTTGTCACCACGCTGGAATCACTCCAGAGAAGTACTAGATGCATTACCAAGCCTGAAAATGTTCTGACAATTTAAAACAAACCTTTAGTCTTGAACAGAGGACTGCCCATGGACCTGATTTAAGCATTCAAAATTAACCCACTAGACTTATTCAGAACCAAAACAAACCCCAGAACTCAGGTGGAAACTAAAGGGAAGTGCATTTAGAACTGACACCAGAAGGCACATCTTTACTCAAAGAGTTGTAGGAGTATGCAAGATCCTACTTGAAAAAATGAACTCAACCTCCAAGCACCACTTGAAAGAAACCAGGAAAAGATCTTTAGATCACTTAGCTAAGAACGAAATGAGACAGATGAGCTAAATGGCCTTTTCACCTCTCAGTTTTCACTTTTCACGTCAAATTTGGGTGAAAACCCAAGTTTAAAATATAAAACAAGCTCTGAGCAGACTGCAAACTAAGGTTAAACACACACGGTCATACAACTTCTACCAAGACAATTACTAAGTAACACCCACCTATTCCACTTCCAAATTTGAGGGAAAAATGCAGCAGAAAGAAACAAAAATGCTAAAGAAGCAAGGGATCAGGAAAGACTGGGAAAGAAGGTCTAGATGCAAGTAAGCAAGAAGAAATCAAGGAAGGGATGGGAAAGCTGCTTCATAGCATCACTGATGCTCTACACAATTTGCTTTAGTAGTCTGTTGATTTGAAAGGGAAGGACTACCCATGAGAGCCTAAGGCACAGGACCAAATACATGGGCAACTTCCGGTTTTGATTAAAATCGGAAAAACAAAATCAGAACTAATCTTCCACCCCTATATGGCTATTGATCGAATCACTCAAGTCCTTTAAGAAAAGGAAAAGGAGACTAACACTTACATCTGGGTGTGGAATGGCGTACTGTCCTTGAACGGTATAAGCCTGTAAAGAAAAGACAGCGTTCAGGAGAGTGGCTCAACATGCGACCTCGCTGTCCCCATCGTCACTGAACCAAAACCCTGCCAATGGGGCCTGGAGTCTGTGACCTCTCAGGCAGGCAAAACACCGCTTTTCTAACAGCTGAGCAAAATCCCTTCCCAATTTAAGATCCCAGTATGTTTGAGAGTAAATGGGGAGCGGGGGGAAATGTATGCAAGTCCAAAAAATTTCATGCATCACTGGAAGGATGATAATCACTCCCATTTATTGGTTTCCAAGGGGTTGTGGAAATACAGGAAGTGCAGGATGTTGAATCTATATTGGATTCAAGATAGCTTTGCATCTGCCAACATCCTGAAAAGGCTAGAAAGCCTTTGCCTTTGTGTAGTATGTCTAACTATTGCCCAAAGAAAAAAAAAATCAAGACCTACATCAATAATTCCAGTATTAGTGCTATTCAAAAGGCTGGGGAGAGCACTGCTTTGATAGCATGGCTTCAGAATGAATTTAGATCATGCAGAGAGGGGCTGTAAATGTCCTCTGTAAATGACCAAAACACCATTTGGAAGAGGAATGTTTAGCAAATATTACAAAACAAAAGGTGGGGAGATATAGAAGAGCAGGGTCTCCTAATTCCATAACAGATCTGAGAGCAAGCTGCTGTTGCTGGGAAAGGATCTGTCTTGTAAAGTGATGCAAAGCACATGGAACAGGGTGTCAAGACGGGGGGTGGGTGGATAAAGGAAGGAAGGAAGGGGAGCAAAATAAAAATCAAAGAAGTCCACTGCAGAGACCCTGGATTTCTTTAGCTCACTCTTGTACCTGAAGTACTGTATGAACATCTGCAGCCTCAGTGTAACCAGTAATGCACAGTTCATTCACACCTTTCCAAGGTGCAATGCAAGAAAGGATTGCTCTTCAATGAAAAACACCTATCAAACTTGGAAAAAGGGACTCAGCCCAACTGTATCCACTGCAGGCCATTTCAAATATGACAGCTATTACTACTCATAATATCCCTCAAACTACTTTTACATATAACAGTCAGCAATACCAATACTCTCGACTAACAAGTTATGTAGACAGGATAAATTGTCCTACCACACAGTGATCATTTGATAGTGATATATTCTCTACTGATAGATGCAAATAATACCCTTCTCAGAATACCAAAACAAAAAAGTCAAAAGACTGTTTTGAGAAAATGAAAGTAAAAGTAATTCCTGATCACAGATGCATCTGAACTAAATTCTCTAGATAACCAATGAAGTACACTAAATTTTGGTTACTTAGTGTGTATTTTCTAACAAACTACAATGAAAGTAACAAAGCAAGGTTTATGTCTTTCCTTAAGCACTGTTACCACAGCACATGGGAAATCATTCTTCACATGTTCATGGGGATTCTGGTTTTGGCAATACAAGTAAGAATCGCAAATTGTGTATTTCTAAATTGTTGTGCCCATTAAATCAAACCCACAGCCTCAAAAGGGGCTTTATTTTTAGAAGTTTGGTGCCAATCTACATAATCCTCTAAGTACAAACAGGGATCAATCTAAGAGCTATAGGATTTTTACCCATCATGCAACTCTGTACTCAGACTACAAAGAAGTTGATACAAAAAGCCAGTCTCACCATTAACACATGTAGTTCAGAAGCAGCATCATGACCTATACATTTTTTAAATGCATATTCATATCTTCAAGAGACTCAAAACATTCACAATTTTTTGAACCACTAAGGAGGACATGTCATGCAGGTCAATTTCTAGCCAAGGCAACACTAAAGAGATACAGATTCCCAAATCAAGGCAGATATGGTCAACCCAGAATACCTGTCGACAGCTCTGGTATCGATGTTGCTGTGCGAAGATATTCAGATATATACATCCCCCCAGACACACCCCACAGGGGAAGTTACCTGTCCACCAGCAAAGATGACCGGAGAGCCAGAGGGCTTGGGCCTGTAAGGGATGGTCACACCCTTCGGAGGAGACTGGGGAGAAAACAGGACAACCACCATTTAGAAAGCAGCCATCAGTGAAGACATGCTGACCATGGAAATAGTTCCCTCTTTTTCCTTCCTAACCTAAAATAAAAACCGTGTTTAATGGATGATCAATTCTAGATAGGATCCACAGCACATTTAACAAGATTCAATTCAAACACCAAAGCTATTCAAAGAGTTTTTTCAAGTAGAGCTGAATGTGTCGACGTTCCCGATGACGTTTTAGGTGTAATCCCCTGATCCTCCTGAGCAGAAGTCACTCAAACCCAAGGGGATTCCCAGCAGCTACGAAATTCTTGGCTAAATTCTACTGTACTCCTCTCTTGCCAGCAAACAGATTAATGACATCCAGGTGCTCCAAACAATTCTAAAGAAAGCACCAGAAAAAAACTGAGAAAGTTACCAGAAATAAGCAAGAGGAGTACAGCAAGAGATTTTTATGCCTTGCTCGACTGGGGAAACCAGAACCCACTTGTGTTTCCGTGTCATTCACGACTGCTCATGGGAGACAATACTGCCCTACTACAGCCTTTTTAACAGGTAAAACCTAGCAATTTTTTAGCAAAAGACAAGAAACGGATTGCAGGCCCACAAACTGCTCTGCACCCAGGAAAAAGGAGGAACCCCCCCCTTGTGCTCACAGGGGACCATGTGGTGGTTCTTATGGCCAAGCTCATCGATGGGTTTCCTGGCTGTCTTAGAAAGAACTCACCTCCAGCATGACAACGCAGATCTGCTTGACGCACTCGATGATGGACTGCGGAGTGCCGGCGATGGTGATGGCACGCTCCGTGGAGTTGGGCAGCATGTCCCCTGCCACCTGGACCTGAGCGCCCGTCGACTGCCAGGGATACAATTACAACCACCCCCCATGGTTAGCTCACTGCAGGAGGACATGGCACTCCTGACAGATGATCTTTGTAAGGCACACGCAGCTCCTCCATGGGCCACAATCAATTACAATTACCCATGCAGATCACTAATTAAAACCTCTCCAGATTATCATTCCTGTACCTTACAGAGCACACAACCCAAAGAGAGTACAGCTACTTGCACTTGCCTCCAGCTACAATTAGGGCTGACCAAAAACCTGCTACTCATCTGTGTAACCTTCAAAAAAATGTTTTTCACAGGACAGTATTATTTACTCCAAAAATGCACTATACCCGCACTAGTGGCAAATAAGGTTTATATTTTCAAAAAACCATACACTTGCAGGAAACCTTACAGAAAGGGAACACATAAAAGGGGAGATTTAAATCACAAAAAAAAGCGTCACCCCCTGCCCCACCCACGTCCTGTGACAGCACTCACCCAGCACGCGTTAACTCACCTCGCGGATCTCTTTGATCTTACAGCCGCCCTTGCCAATGAGAGAGCCGCACTGGCTGGCAGGCACCACAATACGCAGGGTCACTGGGGGCTTGCTGGTGGCCGTGCTGTTGGTCATCGCACTACTGATGTCCTGCAGGCACAGAAGGTGCGAGATCCTGTCAACAGGAGCACTCCACCCTGCTCTCCTGAACTAAACGACAGCTGCCCTTTGAGGAGAGGCAGGCAGCAAACTACACAGAGGTTTGTTAAAAAAAGACTAACCATTTCAGATCAGGGTAGCAACTGAACAGCTGAAGCCTTTGTACCATCCACTTAACTTCAATGCTTCGGGAGTTTTGTGCATTGCTTACTTAATTCATAGTTTAATTATTTTATATATAATCTACAAAAGTTGCCTCCTAAATTACAAGGGCCTTTTTGTCCGTTAAATGAATTCATCCCAGTTTAGCGATTTTAATTCTAAGATGTGAAAAACAGAACTGTCCACATTACTAGACTAGATTTTAAATGTTCGAACCTTTCGAAAGCAGAGCAAGGTTCTTTTTGGTCTATTACACAACGAGCTTTGGCAAACTGTGCTAAAAAGCAGAATAAAAAATACCCTTATATGGCAACAGCCTGGCAATTAATTCATTATTTTCCATTCATTGCTCCGACTCCCTGTTGCTTTTAGCTGATCAGTCCCAGTTTCTGATAAATGATTAGCCTGGAAAACAGCGCTACCTCTTCCAGCTTCTCAATGATCATGGAAAAGGCTTTGAAAATGGCAGTCGTGGGTCCAGCAAGGGTGATGATTCTCTCAGGACAGTTCCCTTCAGAGATATTAATGCGAGCGCCACTCTGTCAAGACAGAAACAGGAAAAGACTTAAGAAACTGCATATGTTGTTATAAACCAAAGCTGTCCTTAAAAGCAGAGCAGGTCCTGCAAAAATTGCTTGTGAGATTCTGGAAAAATGAGCATTTTGTAAAACTGGGAAACGCGTGGATCAGCTAACATTCATTAACATTTCTTGTTTGCATTTGGGTGAAGCTGTCGGCCTCAACACTGAGAAGTTGTTTGATGGACATTGCTACAGATTTAAAAGAAAAAAGGGTCTCCCAGACATGGCTCAAGTCACAGTTTTTGATACAGATCTTTGAAGTTATTGCCTCAGACCTACTTCTGTACAAATGCATATGGGCAATTCGTATGACCTTTGTCTTTGCCTCAGCGGTCAATGCGACAAAAAAAGCCCACTTTCTAATTATTTAAGTTTCTAAAAAAAACCTCAAGACTAGTTTCACACTGTTTATTGAAGTCACCAAGGACAACTGTCAAAGCAGTCAAGCATATAGCTAACTGTGCCAAATGGAGTTTAAAATAAACCGTCCTTTTCAATTAAGACTGACAGAAAAACATTTCACTCACAATTCACAAAAAACTGAGAAACAGGTGGATGCACTGCAAATACCAACTATCAGTTCATCTGCAATCAGCCTTTTCTTTGAACTAGAACCTTACCTCTTCTCGCATCTTCTTTACAGATTCTCCTTTCTAAAAAGGCAAAGGAACAAAAAAAATGGTTTCAGTGCTGGTATGTCAGAAAGGAAAAAGAAACATCTCCAACATCAAGGTCTTCGTAAGAGTCAATTCTAAATCCTGCAGATCAGACTCACCCCCTCACTATCTTCTTGAAGATTAATAGAAATTGTGCCCCCTTCTCTCCCCACACTATCCTTTCTTCTAAGCCAGTACACATCCAGCATTTTCAGGTCCCCATCCATTCTATACTCCTGAGAGCTAGCTGATCTCAGGTCTTCTCCCCTTCACTCCACTGGAGTCCTCTGTCTTTAACTCAACATAATTAGTGCTGAATGCAATGGGGGGGGACTGGATGGGCTCCTCATTGCTCTACAACGACCATGTGCTTTCTATTCAGGGAATTGTTTTTTCCCCAGGCAGGAAGATTTCAAATTACTCCTGTTAAATACACTGAGCTGACATCAGAATGCCTTTGTATGCAGGCTTGTACTTCCATGGTATCTCAACCTCCTTAAATAAAGTGAGAAAATGAACCAACACTCACCTTGCCTATGATGCTACCGACTTCCTAGAAAAAAGAAACATTACAAGTTAAAGCTCCTGAATCCACAAACTAGAGAAAGGAGTACAAATGTAGCTCTGCAGTCGCCAGACTCCAGGCCTTAAAGCTGCTACAGCAATCCATGAAAAAAAACAGCCAACTCATTTAGTTACTCAAAATACACAAATTCTCGCACATTGCTGTGCTTCCGAAATATTTGTTAGTGAGGTTAAAAGAATTTGAAAATGTAAGGGGCACATTGCAAATGTTTACTGAGTACCGATTCAGTCAAGAGGTCATTAGGCTCATCTAGTCCATTTGGTAGTTGATTGGCCCAGGGATCTCACCCTGCAGTTTCATGCAAGAAACCATATTATCGGCTTAAACATGGCTGGACATCTTGTTCCACCATCCTTTAAATCAAAAAGTGCCTTCTGTTCTTGGTTTTTAACGCACTTCCCAGCAATTCCCTAGTTTGCCCTCCATTTTGTGTTTCACTCTTCATCCTGAACAACAACAGCCATATGGTATTTCATTTAATGAAAACTAATTGAAACTGAAAATGCCCACTTCATAAAGTTGGGAATTGCTAGCATAGACACAAAACAATGGTGTTATAGAAATTCCTATAACAAAATACTGGAGCTTCAATAATTCCACAATGTTCGTGAAAAGAATATATAAAATGTAATTTAAAAGCCTGGATTGTGGAATGTATGCTTAGTAATGTAAACAGTACAAACACTGCATCAGCTCTTCTGATGGTCAACAGAAATGAATTACCTTGATTAGCACTAATATCTGGTAAAATATTACCAGAGCGCACAAAAGCTATTCTCACCATATTTTTTTTACTAGTTCGGGTTCTTCTTTTTCTGAATGATCCACAATGATTTTTAAGCACAATTATCAATTGTTTCATTAACTGAATTTCAATTTTGGAGAACTGTTAACTAGACAACAGCCACATGCGTTGCTCTCAATTGGAAACAAATGCAACAGAAAAATGCTGAAAAATTCAAAGTGAAGAGTGCTCCATTCCACGTTCTGCATTTGAAACTTTTCCATTTAAAGTGTTTGACTAAATGAATGCTGCTCTGACGAGCAATTGTTTTTCTGCTAAACCTATTCACGTTTCATTTGCTCTTATTTTTTCTAACCCAAGGGAAACATCAAAAGAAATATTTTCTCTCTCAACCTCTTGTGCACTGGGTAAATCTACCAAGCACACAGGAACAACACCTGCTTTGAAATATATTCAAATACGCCAGATTACAAACACAGAAGGCATGATGGGTGTTCACAGCATGACAGGCCGATAGGCCGGCATTAATTTATGAAGATGTAGGTGAAACCACCAACCTCACTTTTCACGGTGGGCTATGATATGCTAAATGAGATCTGTCAGAAACTGCAGGTTACCTTGCCATGCATGAGCAATCTGATGGTGAGGGTGACATTGAGTCCTCCTTCGATCACACCGGAGTCCATCATGGGTACAGTGACTAGTGGAGGGACCGGGCTGGTCAGGAGCTGGCGTCTTTGGTCACAAGAATGGAATCTGAGTGGGGGAAAGTGTGCAATGCATTTAAAAACACAAGATCAGGTCCCTTGAAGGTAGGGGGAGACAAAAGGCCACACCAGGGGTGCAGAATCACCACGTTCTTTAAAGAGAAACATATTCCGGGACAGACTGCAATTAGGCTCAACAATTAAAGCGATCGATTGCTTATCCTTCAAAAGCTACAGCCAGGATTCCTTGGCTCCCACCACGTGTTCCAGTTTTAATGTACATAATCAAGCCCGTTTAGTAAAAGCCAATGGGATTGGATTTCTATAAAATAAATTCCATAAATAAGATAAATTTCCTCTGCTTCATCCGGCAAATATCAATATCGATGTGGACATAGTTTGAAACTTAAACGTAACAAATGACTATACAGTACAGAAATGTATTGAGTTTTATTGACTTGTTCAGCTTTGAGAAGCGAGTATAAACAAAATGCCTACAGAATGTGACATAAAACAGACAAAACGCGTCGTATATTTTGCGTCGCTGTTTTTTTTTTATTCTGGCTCCGTAGGTGCGTATACTGATTAGCGAATGCTTAATAAGACCAAAGTCCAAATTCACAAATGTTCCTGTTGATACGCGCATACACCTGCCATTAACTTCGTCTCCAACTCAAAAAACCTGAACAGCGAGTTAAAAATCTCGCAGACTTTTTCCACCTCGATCTCAAACGGCACCGCGGTAGCCTGAGCCTGACCGAAATGACACGCCTTGTTGTAACCCTACAACACCTGCCAAACGCTTAACGGCGGCCGAAGTCTTGAAGACTTCAAACAAATGAAGCCTGAATACACCTACCCAAGACTTACACCTTCCGTGCGTACTTGTACCGGAGTACAGGACCGCCCCTCACCCCAAGACAACATGTCGCGTTAATGACATTAAATCACAGCGGCGGTTCCACTATTGACACGGTCGCAGCGAGAAAACCAAAAGGTCTTCGATATTGGAATTTTAGATAAAATAACTCTACATTTAAGGAGGGGGGGAGATGCAAAATCCGCGCTCAAGGCAGGCACGACAGAGAGACCGCGGCCCTAAGGAAAGCAGATCTCCTCCTACGTGCTCTACTGCGGGCGGCAATCACGCAGTTAGAAACGCAGGCAACGTGGAAACCCTTTCTCAATTCGCCAGAGCATCGAGTTTCCCCCGCGACACAACCGAGGCAGAACGGTGGGCGCCGAGATCGCCCTCATTATTCACCATCATTCCTGCGAGAACCCAAAACAGCAGATCCACGCTCAAAACAACAACGCCACCCCCCAAAAAAAAAAAAACTCGAACACCGACGGGCGATTTGCACCGTCAGAGCCGCCGTCCCCCAACCCCCATTCCCAAACCAAACTACATACGGAAAAAAAAACGTCATACACCGAGAACAAACGACGCACTTGCACGGTAAACTACCGTGCGGTGCGAAAACAAAAACCGAGAAAAGGGCCGAATAAGTGTCGATTTCGGCCAATAAACACGTTTCGCCAGAAAGACGCAGCGCATAAGCAATCCGCATTGTGCTGCGCGCTGTTGCGGCCTACACCTCCTCGCCGAGCCTGGAAACTCCTAGCCCGTGGCGAAATGTGTGTGCGCTTTCTTTTTAAACAACAAAAAATACCGTTTTCTTACCTGTTTCGTGCCTTGGAAGGTGTTCAGGGGGAGGGTAGGGTTTTAAGGGTAGAAGGGGATAGGTTCGGGTGGGTAAAAACCCAGGGGGAGAGTTTACAAAGGAGCCGGGGAGAAGGGAAGAGAGACAGTGAGAGACGGGAGCTCCTCTCAAACACAAAGACAACAAAACTCTCACCTTTCCCCTTTGACCTTTCATCCGCGCCTCCTCCTCCTCGCCCAACCCCCGCCCTTTACCGGTTTTTCTGTCCTTTAAAAACTAAAGCAATCCCCACAATAACCAACGAGTAAGAAAATTATATAGTTAACAACAATTAGATTTATGGTGCCTTTTTCGGGCAATTTTAGCGCTTCATTCTGTGGAAATGTACTGGGAAGCTCCGCCGCTCGACCCCGGTGCAAACCCACGACGTCACTGCTTATTTTATGACTGGACGCAACTCGCCTGAGAGTCGGCTACACATTTTACATTAACGGCAAAATATGAACGAACATTAATCAAGAGCGCAGTTTTTATATTTGTTAATCAGGAGCGTGGTTTTGATTTTGTGCACGTATTCTCACAGGATTATGTCCTATTGGAGTGAAACTGTAAAACATAAACTGTATAATAAATAATGTGAAATTAAAATTATATTCATTAGAAAGGTTAATTTATTATTTCACTATACCTTTAACCTGTACTTTAAAGCATCGTTATGAAAAACAGTGCAGGACCTAGCTCTGTACTGTCATACTTGTACCATACTCGTTGTTTACATTGTGATTGTATTTACTGTCTATTGTCTTGTCTGCAGTTCTGTATATACTGTACCTGAGAGACTAATGAGAAACACTTTTCATTATACTATGCACCTGTGTAAGTATATTGACAAGTAAAGTTGAAATGAATTTTGCTCAGCGATTGCTGCAACATCGTTTTTTTAATCACTGCTACATTTTCTAGAGGCATGTATAGACACATACTGCTGGAAACACGATTTTATTGTGCGTGTCCCACACAGTTGAGCCAATATACCGTAAGTGCGAATGTTATTTTAACTCACAAACGAACGATCTTTATCATTACATCCGCCCGTTTCTGGGAATTTGCATGAGCTCAGTCTTACACTGATGCAAATGTTTCGCCTCTGTAAAGGAGTAAATCTGTATATCAGAATTTATAAACAGATTTTACCTAAAATGAATAATTCGGACAATCAGATTGTGATCAATACATCAGATAGTGGTCAAAATGGGGGGGGGGGGTCATTTCAAATGCCTTTGATTTAATTGCACTCCTACTGTACTTTTAATTTAATTTGATTATAAATTTGCACTTCAGAATCTATGGACAGTTTCAGAGACTAGAGTAAAATGCTCGTTCTCAGGTATTCAACTTTAATCTTACCTTCATCCTTGAAAGTTAGTACTTTTATCCCCCCCCACTGCTACCTAAATGCTCACAGTTTCCCCATAACACCGTGATTGAACATTTACAGGTATCAGATTTTTTAAGTCAAATGATGATGAGAAGGAGGCTGTTTGCTTTAATTCAGTCTGAGCTTTATTAACCCCTGTGGTAAATTTGCATTACAGCACACCACAAAACAACACAACAAAAACAGACATCACGACACCGACAAAGAATACACCACATCAGCGTTTTAGGGGATAAAAGAGTTACTTTACAATGAGAGTGATATTGCAGTGGGTATGAAAGAGTTCATGAGTCTGTTACTGTTACTTACAAACCCTCTGTTTGTAGAGGAGATTGAGGTTTATTTGACTTGCCCCAGTGATTCTGCTGCTCAGACAGCACGGTGATATGGTACTGTCCTACCTCGGGGTTCAGTTCCTGGGGTGCTGTCTGCATGGAGTTTGCACGTTCTCCTCACGTTCACGTGGGTTTCCTCCAGGTGCTCTGGTGTCCTCCCACAGTCTAAAAACACACTGGTGATCTATTTGGCCCTGGTGTGTGTGTGTGTGTGTGTGTGTGTGTGTGTGTGTGTGTGTGTGTGTGTGTGTTTGCGCACTGCAATGGATTGTCCAGGATGTATCCTGCCTGGTGCCTGGTGCTAGCTGGGATAGGCTCCAGCTCCCCCGTGACCCTGCATTGGATAAAGTGGTTAGAAAATAGATGGATCATTTTGCTGTTTCTCATCTCTAATTTTCCCATCCTACTACAATTAAGAGCAATTGTATAACTAAGGCCTTCCTATTAATTAAAATCTAGCAAATTCATAGGGCAAACACTGCTCAGGAGCGCCACTACCACAACCGACTAATTGAAAGACCCAGAATGTCTCTGGAGTGGAGAAAACCTTCTGCCCAGGCAGATTTGACTTCAGACATCTGAGAGATTACGAAAGCAGGGGAAGGAAAGATATGCTACAAATATGAAAGCACTGCTCTGAAATTCCATTTGCCTAACTTCTTGTGCAAACAAAACTGTGCTGTGAAAAATGCCCACAGCTTCCTGTCTTTTAATATCCCTCCTTATCTTTTTCCCTGTTAAAGTACTGAAATAAAAAACCCCAAAAGCTTCTATCACTGAAAAGCTCTATCAGTGAAGGGGGCAAGAACAAAACTGAATGTCAGACACAGGAATGCAGTTATGAATATGACTTGATAAGAGAAGCAGGAGACAACGTCATTTGCAGCCATTTAATTACACTGATATTAAAGGAGGATTTTTAATCGTACAAATAATGTCCCTACAAGGTCACACTTCGCATGGTACTCCATGGGCTTGCTATTCTTCTCAAACTGCCTGTTCTCCTACAAATTTGAACCCCCCCAGTGAACTTCTGAAACAAACAGACATCATTATTCAAACAGATAACTACATGCACAAGTCTGCAACATATTACAGGATTTATTCCATACACAACTCAACCAAACAACCAAATACAAGGCACTTCTTTGACATCAGCCAGTGTTGTTTTCACATTTTAATCTCTTAATTTTTCCTTTTTTTGTTTTCACTTTTTAAGTAGGGTTAGTCCTACAGAAAAAAATGACAAATCTCACTGCAGCCCATTACATCTGGTATGTTAAGTACAAGGATTTTGTTTCCAACCTGAGCATCTCATTTAAGCTGAAATGAAGACTTAAAAAAAAAAACAACTGATGATTTAAAGGACGCGGCATTTGATTGAAAGTTACGGTGTCTGCAAAAGTCTAGGAGAACTACATTTGGTGAAAGTGATCGCAGGCTCCGTTGACACAGCAACCAGAAAATATTGTGGGAACTAGGTGTGGCTGAATGATGAGGAATCCTCCCTTCACCATGAATAACTATTCCAGCAAAAAAGCGTCTGAGGAGGCCTTATTTTAAAACTAGTATTGTAATCACATTAATATAGAGGTTGATCATCAATCCACTCCCATTCACAGTGTTCTCCCAGTCTGCCTTCCACTTAAGACTGCATTTAATTAACTGAGCCCATGACTACATTCCTTCGGTAGACCTTTTAATCGTTTTTAACTTCTGCAACACCGGAGATTCCAAGTTACTTCATTTTTCCAACTGAATTGAAGTACCGTGAGGCATTAAAACAGTTGAAAATTGCCCAGTAACAATAAAAACAGTTGAAATGAGTAAGTCAAAGAAAACGCTTAATACCCAAGGATTGTGCTGGGGAATTTGTTCACAATAAGCTCCTAAGAGTCACTGGGCTGTCACTGCTAACTAAGGCACACATCTCCAGAGGTTTTCAAAAACCTGCAAGAGGTTCATAATTTACTGTAGGATGACAAAGAGTCTGTACCTACAGCACATCAGCTTATCAACTCATCACAGTTCAGTTTCTTGTTTGGATTGTATCTGTGGTGCACAACTCCCGTTCAGGATGACCATAGTTTTGGATATTTGTTCTCCCATTTTTAAAAAGTATAGTCTATATTACTTATATTGTTTTGTCCTGTTGAATAACCTGTTCCTTGCCACATACACTGATGTGCAATTTCTCACTCTTCTCCTGATTTGCCCAAATTGCCTTATGAAGTATTTAAAAAAAACCTACAGTTATTTTTAACAAAACTGGACTAGAGGAAAAACAGAAAATGTAGAAGTGCATAAATGATACACACTGAACCCAGCGGATGAATTTGCTAATCCAGAGCTAAATTCATGTTCTACTCTTACGCACATTCTAGCAGTAGGCTTTGATATTTCTTTTCAGTTCCCAAAGAGATTATTGCTAAATTGACCGGAGGACAGCCAACAGGATTTGAACTAATTAAAAATAACAAAGAATGATTCCCATTCTCTGTCAGGTGTAATATTGAAATAACAGGACAGGACGTAAAGCATGGTTTTAGAGCCATCAGCTGGCTAAGAGCCAGAAAACCTGAAACACTGGAATCACCTGTTTGGTAAAGTCCATGGATGGCAAACACACAAAACCACACAGCCATTAGAGACTGGAGTCACAAATCTTTGTCATTTATTGTTAAAACAGTCATTGCATAATCTTAAATACAACACCCTTTCCTTCAAAAAAATATAGAGTTTTAAATAGCCTCAAGCTTTCCATATCAGCAATTTCACAGTGTGGTTTTCAAAGTGTCATGGAATGTGGTCCTCAGAGATTGTTCTTAGGGTGTCCTCAGGGGGATCTGCATGATTTTTCACTGAGCCCAGCAGAGATGTATTAAAATCAGGATTTTTACTTACAGATCGGGCTTGTGTGAAATCCCTCATCACCATGGCAGTTTGAAAACCTCTTCTGTGCTATGTCTTACATCAGTGCTGTACAACATAATGCAAAGCTATGAAGCGCGCAGCCCGGGTGAAGCCGCCATGTCAGAGTTTGATGGGAGTGTCGCGTCAACAGCGAGAGCTCAGTCCGAGTCGCTGCTGCTGCTGCTGCTGCTGCTTGAGGAATGCTGGGAAAAGAGGACATAAAAAACAAGATCAGCAGAGAGGACAGTGCTGCCAGTTTACAGCTCAGTTTCCTATCAGTAAGGGAGTTCAAGGAGTCTAAGGTCCAAAGAGCAGCTGCACATGGGAGACATGCAAGACAAAAACACAAAGCTCACTGATCAATTAAAACACAAAGGGAAGTAAGGGCAGATCTACACAGTTACGTTTGCCTTGGCCGGACGATGTTTTTTTGGCCATCAACATGTACAAGGTCAAGTTTTTCCAGGGAACTGAGGGAGACTTATTTCGCTAATTAACACAGGGCAGTGGCAGAGCATCAAAGGGAGATCAAAACCTCCTTTTGGCTGACTAAAGCAAATTTTTATGGGTCCGACCAATGCACCACTAACGACCAGACTTGTCCAAGAACTTCGGGATTCGAATACAGAGATGGGTCCCGCACCGGTGACATGTTCGAGACGCTCATTTCTGCGCCATGAACACCGCTTGCTAGTGTTTCACGTGATCAAGGCAGAGGAAGGGTGTGAGAATGGGAATACGAGGAAGAAAACCAGTTTGTTTTGCAACAGCGGCAGGAAACCTCCCCTCGAAGACAGCGGCTGTTTCCACCTGCTGCCACGCTGGACACGGAGCTCAGCCAGCTCATCCCGTGTCTCAACTCCTGCCATCTGACAGACACTACAGATCTATTCAAGCAGAAGCTAAATAACAGTACAGACTTTGCCATGCTAGAGCTTACAACGTCCTGTCCGCATTCCTGTGCGGTTTCATGTTGAGCATCTGTTTAAACAGCGTAATGCAGTGCTTGTGTACGGTTGACCTATTTGAACGAAGGGGGTCAAATTTACTCATTTGTCATGTACAGTGTAATGTAGGTTCATAAATATTAGAATCCAATATTGAATTCAATGGAAGGTTACAATAAGGGAGCAATGCCTTGTGCATTCAGCATCCTGTACCGAGATCAGGATCACGCAGGGACTATTCTACAGTTAAAGAAGGATGCTCAGACTGGGTCTCACTGTCTCACTTCAGCACTGCCTGTACATAATGGGCCCTGCCCTGCCTCCTAAACCAGCCCATTCCCAGTTTTACCTTCCCGTGCTTGTGGTACTTGTGTGCCTTCTTCATCTTCTTCTTCATCTTCTTGTGCGCCTTGTGCCCACCAATTACCACGCCCGCCCCCGCCACGCCCGCCGCCAGGCCCCCAGCCATGGGGTAAGATTTTCCGTGTTTGTGTCCCGGGCTGCCAGCTGGGTAAGGGCCAGGAAAGACCCCACCATGTGGCCCTGGGTAGGAAGGGTTGACCCCTGGGGGACAGGGAGGGCCCCCCGGATAAGGTCCCGGGCCCATGGGAACCCCAGGATAGGGGTTTTGACCCGGGATACCAACGGGGGGCCCTGGGTAGGGGCCAGGGGGGGTCACCACAGGTGGGAAGGCCGGGTTCACTCCTGGTGGGTAGGCTGGGTTTTGACCAGGAGGATAGGCGGGGTTGGGAATTGGGGGTCCCATGGGATACCCCCCTGGCGGACCTAAGGAAAGATGAGGAAATGAACATGAATCCCGTGTTATGTGGAAGGATGCTCTGAAAATACAATTCAATACCCTACTGCTGCGTCATTAAAGATGGAATCTACCCCAGTGCAGCCCAGATATTATACTTACACAAAGTACACAATATTCAATCGATCCAAGATCTAATCCACTCATATTTCTAACCCCTTCCATACAATTCTTGCATCATCCAAGACCTACATGTTAAGGTGCCTCATGGTCTCAAGGTTTACATGATCCAGCTACAGCAACTTGGGTTCAAACAATCTGACTAACTGTCTGCTCACGCCGCACTTTAAAAGACCAGGAGAGTCGAACATCGAATTCTTCATCCATGTCAGCAAAATCACCGCAAAAAGATGTGGCTCTTATTTCATTAACGAAGAACTATGGCTCCTCGTTGAAAACCAGATGGAGGAAAAATCTGTTCTGATGGCATAGAGCAATACAGTAGCCGCCACAAAAGCCAAAAAAAAAAACGTTTGGCAAAGAATTACTGATAAATGGAATGCATAAGTTAGTACTATAATGCAATTAAATATCTCAGGATCTGACAAAACGTCTAAAGTGCCTGAGCACTTGTGTATCGTCATTCCCTAAATTAAACTTGGAGTGGAGCTCCACTTCAAGCCATTGTGCAGTTGTACAATATTGTTTTCCGCAGCAGTAATTTCTGCATTTACAGTAACTGGACCCTACAATGGGAGGACATGGAAATATGTCAAGACAAAACACAAAAACCCACAGTGACCCTGTGTGATACAATGTAGTACAGTTCTCTGAAAGAAAATATTCGCTCATCCTTGCTGATGAGAAGAAGTGTGAGCAGATTAAGACTGAGTGAGGAGGAATCATTAGGTGTTCCTTTATTAGGAAATGGTATTTTCTCCAATATTTGGGGTGTGAATCAAGTAGTATATCTAAAGGTTTTCTCCCCTTCCCCCACCAAACTGCAGAAAGTCTTAAGCTAGTCTATTTCTTAGGCTAAAATTGTATTTTTTAACTGTACATTGATACTGTTAACTGATGATCTGATCAAAATCAGACTTGTTTGGCCCTGTGAAGGCTTTAATAAGGATGCCTGTGTAGTCCACAGCACCTGTTATATAAGGAAATACTGCAAGAAATGTTTAGATCACAGGGCATAGCTACAGGGAACAGAAGCTACATTGACAGTGGATAGAATTATACTGTATACGAGAATATTAGCAGCTACTTCATGAAACCTTGTTTGATGTACCAATGTACAGTATGCATCATCCTGGAAACATTATGAATGCAAGAAAAAACTGTTTTAATGCAAACACCACTTTCCTTATCGCACAACAGACTGTCGCTGTACTGAAGCGCTCCGAGTGGCCAGCACAGTAAAACACTGCACCAGTCACAAGGAATCTCAGCCCCACGAACAGAGTGCGAGTTGTTTTGAATGCTTACCTATGACAAGCAGTATTAACCCTTAAGAGATTGTGAATGTAAACTATACCCCTTCTGCTGAAACGGTATCTTTCAAATAACAATTATCAGCGAACTGTAAAGGACGACCTCCAATCTTTCAATCTCTCTGCAAAGCTCCCCTGCCAAATGGATCCCTGAAGAAAGGTGATGTCGCAGGCGTCATTTTTGCAGGCGGCGACTGATCGGTTTAACAGGTTTAAGAATAGGTGATATGTTGCCATAGATACTTAGCTGGTTACAATTCAGTTTCGCTTTGTGAAACCGAAAATCAAAACAACTGTCAACATGTTTACAAAAGTTATCCGGTTAACTGAGTAATCTTGCTTCATGAAAACAGCCCCCTGTTCTCCTCACTTTGCTGCGTTTTCTAGTACGCCTTACATATTTCCCTCGGTTCCTTGCTGCTGCATGTTTACTGCCGAAGTTTACTTTGTTCCCGACTTCACCCTCAGAATGTCTGTCTGCTTGTTTAACCTGCAGGCCTGCCTTGCTACACCCATCATGTCAGCTTGCAGTTTCACTACCGCTCTGCCTCTCTCCTCGCCTGCTCCTGGGTTTGTCTGTCTAAGACCCTGCTGCTTATTTCCACCTCAAGCAGAGGCTAAGACAGGATGAAGCTTCAATCTTCTGGAAGGCCTGTATGGAGACTAGGAAACTGATGAACAAAAGTATCTTCTCCTGCCGTGCTAGGAACAGGAGCATTTCGTTTACGCATCAGAACATCATTCTGAGTTACCATGAAAGTCAAGGCACAGGCAGAACGTAAGTTTAAACAGAACATAAAAAGGGCACATAGAGATGCGTTAAAAAAAAAATAGGAAACAATCACATTTTCTTCCAAATAAGGGTCATGGGGGAGCTGAAGCCTATCCCAGCAAGCAACAGGCACAAGGCAGGGTATGCCCTGGAAGGGACACCAGTCCATTGCAGTGCAGTCAGACACTCACACATTCACACCAGGGCCCAGAAGACAATTAACCTACTAGGATGTATTTGGACTGTGGGAGGAAACCAGCAAACCTGGAGGAAACCCCAGCAAACATGGAGAGAACATCCAAACTCCACATAGACAGCACCAGGGCCCCATCACTGCAAGGCAGCTAAGCTAACCAGTGTGTCACCATGCCGCCCAAATGACATTTATATTCCAAGAAACAGGCTGCACACTAGGCAAACACCACGTACCTTGATTAGGGTTCCACATTTCTCTCCTTCACTGCAATCTAGAGAGAAAACAATTCAACAATTGTGGACAACAAATAGGGAAGCAATTATTATTTTTTTCTTTCACTGGGTAAGTCAATTGAGAGCAAATTCTCATTTACAGTGGCAACCTGGAAAAAAATGTATAGTATAATAGAGCTAATCCAAATTACATGAATGAATCTAACAGCTAATTAGTCTGCATGAAAGATGGGGTTTGTACCCATAGCCCTCCAGGATGGAGTAATAACCATTACTACACCCTGCTTAATGAATTACAGTGTCTAAATATTTTAATATTTATTGTTATTATGTTATTACAGGTGCAACAGCTTACAGAAGTAACATGTATATGTAAATTAATCCAGCACACAAAGAAGTAGCATGACCATAAATTGTCCTTTGGACTTCCCTGTACTCCTAAAGAAAACCCAATGTTGTCAGCCCGATCTAGTTTCCCCCAGCTACAAACAAAACAGCCTCGCCTGTGTTCTCTCAGAGGTTAAAGTGTGCGAGAACACAGCCAGCAGCTTCTGAGTCATTAAGGTTACAGGACATGGCAAGATTTCAGGCAGAGATCGGCTGAGCCAAACTCCGTCCTGATTGTGAGCGGCACCTCGGAGGAAAAAACAGTCCAGAGAATACTTCTGTTACAAAGCCTCCCTGCACAGAGACCCGTCTCATTCATAAACCTGCAATTATTTTCTCACTCCCTAAAAGTCTTTGTCATTAATCTGAATTTAAGCACAGGTAAAACATGAAACATTAAGCACCTGTCGCTGGCTTAGTTTACAAAAAGCACACAACTAACACACCTAACATCTACTGTACCTTTTAAACAAAACGTTATGCATTGTTATGCAAAGTTTCGTTTCCTTAATCATCGTGCCCTTAAAATTAAAAGGCGGAGAATCTCCTGTTTTGTTAAAGGTTTCGGTTGATGGTTATATCTGTATTTGTGTTTCCCACTACAGTAGGTGTTTGCTTGCTTGAGAATTTAGATCTGGCAAAACAAAATTCTACATTTCCAGAAAGGCTATAACTTTCAAGTCTTATTTATGGGCTATTTCTATACCTAAGCTCACTTTGTAACAAAAACTGAATTGCGTAGGTGTATTTTCACGACTTTAATCCAGAAACAGCAATTATGCCGATATTATCTAGACAAACTTTCCGTCCTTTGCAAAATAGCAGGAGTAAAACAATCCTTTTCACCTGGAATGATTCCAATGACGCAACCTGCTCCGAATTTTTTTTTCCAATTATTTGGCTACAATTTGAACTTCAAAACAGCTCTGAAGATCCTCATTTCCTGGCACGGTCTGACCTCACCACAGTATTTCCGTAACCAGTACAGCTCTCATTAATCCTACTGCAAGCAAGCAAGCAAACCGTGTAGAAAAAAAAAAGCTCTCACCGACTACGACAGAATCTGTTTTCTTTTAAACGGGATAAAAGGTTCCGAGAGACGCAGTCACATTCCTTACCTCAGCCGGATCTTGCGGACCTTGCGAGGGGTTCCACTTTGCCAGCTGCCGTACAAACTGGACGGCCAGGAATATTATTTTAAGCAGCTGCTCTTCCGGGCTGTGTCATTCCGGCCGCGAGCAACCCCGCCCCTTATTCTTTCCGGGGCTGTTGTATAAACCATAGACCTATAGCATCTACTGTCCAACACAAGTCTTGTCCCTTGAACCGAAGCCCATATACAGTATAGGCATGCAGGGGCTAAGGAATTATTTTGACACGAAGATACGGAATGTGCCGCATAAGAATTCCCCATTCGCGTTATCCTTGTGGAAGCGCAACGTTTTCAAAAATCAAGCCCTTTCGAGCAGTCGTCAAAGCAGGGAGTGATTTAGAAACTGTCTTAATATATTTCCAGTTCTGTTTGAATAAATGTCTAGCAATTCTGCTATGTGATTGCCCTAGTGTCTAGCCTTGGCAATAAATCTGAAATAGTACATAATCCCAAACGCATACTACACGCCAAGACCTGTCGCTTTCATCAATGAGCGGCGGTTTTTTTTTTCAGGTTTTATTTAAAAATGAAAGAAATTCCAAGTAGAATGTATACATTTAAAAAATCCGCTTTCAACTTTCCTTTTACAATAATGTTTTTCTATGTAACTTTTTACATTATTGGCAGCAGAGATTGGCGGTTACATGTGGAACCAATTAGTAAAAACACAACAAACAACAAAGCGTCTAAATTTTTCGCTTTCCATCCTTTTTTAGTTGACAATTACGTTGTTAGAACTATTTACATTGTGTGAGCAGAGGCCCCCCCCGGTTAAGTATAGAAAGATATTTACATCGAATCTACATTAGTTTAATCATTACCAGAAAAACAACAATGCAGAAAGAAATAAAGGTTTACACAGAAATATTGCAGCATTTTTCTTCACCGAGTGAAATCAGGTCCTAATCGGGACACTTTTTTTTCCAGATTAACCAGTACTTGTTAAACCTTCCTGACTAAAGGTGAGGTTGTCTTTTTCTGCACATAAATCTAATTCGCAGTGTCAATTCGCTGTTCAGGCGCTGTTAATTATTTAATACACCATTCTCTCGTAATTGTACTCGCAGGTAGTAGAATTCCCAATGTCTTATGGTTTAATGTGATCAACCAGAGTGTTTCCCAAATACACAAATGAGAAGTCGAAAGTTATAATTACGTTTATTATCTTATTAAGGACTATGTGTCTAAATTGCCAATAACGCTGTATCCTTGGGCAGGACCAGCATACGTGCGAGTGATTGGCCCCGCTATCCTCCAACACTGTACTGTGGTTCCCTTGTGTTTATCGTTTATTTTGGGGTAGATCAAAAGAACGGATATTTTTTCCCCATCAGATATTTCTCCGTGTCCCTGTGAGGAGCTTTAGTGAAATTTGCCTACTGTATATTCATCCACTGATCAGCAGATAACGAGAATTTCGATGTTTTTCTTATTTATTTTCATATATTCTGTTAGGTATTTTTTTCATGTACTCAATACTAGCGTCTCATTTTGAAATTATTCTATTATTTTATTTATTGATAAACAGCTATTAAAATATTAAGGATTGTGTTATCCTATTCCACAAGGTCTTTGTTTGAATGATACTGTACATATTTATTCCTGCCTCCTAGTTAGCAATGTTTTGTAGTTCTGTCTTTGGCACTCAAATAAGTACGAATGCTTTTAAGTGTCCAGTCCTTATTGCTTCAGCACAGAGTAGATATTATATTGCCAACAGCCATATCACCCTGCAACTCACAACTGGAAGCCCACTGAAACTCAGCAGGTGTGAGCCTGGCCAGTACCTGGATGGAGACCTCCTGGGAAAAACTAAGGCTTCTGCCAGAAGAGGTGGTAGTGGGTCCTAATGCCCCAGTATAGTGACAGGTACACTATGCTGACGACACTACCATCATTGGCCGAATCACCAGTAACGATCCTCAACAGGGATGAGATCAGGAACGTGGTGGAATGGTGCCTTGACAATAATCTCTCCCTCAACATCAGCAAAACTAAAGAACTGGTCACCAATTTTAAAAGCAGGGGTGCACCCCTTTTCGCATCAGTAGGGGGGCAGTAGAGATGTTTGACAGCTTCAAGTTCCTGGGTACCTTCCTCACTAAAGATTTAGCGTTGTCCCAGCCTGGAGCTGGAGCTGCTAAGAAGGTCCAACAGCGCCTATACTTTCTCAGCCAGTTGAAAAAAAATTGGTCTGTCTTCAGATGTCCTGACCACATTTTCCAAGTGCGCTCTTGAGAGTGTGCTCACGTGTGGGATTACAGTATGGTCTGGCAGCAGCTCATTGTCTGACCAGAAGGCATCACAGGGGGTGATCAGGTCAGCCCAGTCCATCAGTGGAGAACAGCTCCCCTCGATTGTGGACATTTTTACAACTCACTGTCTCAGGAAGGCTGGCAGTATCGCTAAGGATACCAACCATCCTGCTTTCTCACTTTTCTGCCCCCTTCCCTCTGGTAATCGTAAGGCATTAACTTCCAGATTCAGAGACAGTTTCTTCCCACAAGCTGTCAGATTCCTACCCCTGGCTCACAGTGATGTGTTTTTTTAGGTTGTATGTTATATTACTTGTTGTTGCTGCTGCTGTTCTGGATTTAAGTTTCTTAGTGATTCCTTTAACATCTTTGTATTGGAGCCTACATGCAAATAAGCATTTCATTGCATTTGTGCATATGACAAATAAACTGAACTTATACTGTGAAAAGGCACTGTCCTTCACATGAGACATAAAACCAAGGTACTGGCTCCCTGTAGTCATTAAAAATCCCAGGGTGTTACCCTGGAATCCTGGCCAAATTTTCATTGGCCTTTACCAATCATGGCCTCCTAATAATCCCCATCTCTGAACTGGCTTCATCCCTCTGTTCTCCTCCTCAGTGAGAGCTGGTGTGTGGTGAGTATTCTGGTGCACTAAAGCTGCTGTGGCATCATGCAGGTGGGAATGCACACTAGTGGTGGTGGAGGAGAGTCCCCATTAGGCATAAAGCAGTGTGAGTGGAGTGCCTAGAAAGGAGCTATATAAGTAAGAAAGGGTTATTAAATATTGTATTTACCTGACTTTTAACTAAGCAGCGCCCCTTTAATTCAAAGCGAGCACGTTCAGCATTAGAAGCTCGTTGTTTTTTTTTTAACTCTACGCATGTTACGCGCGGTTGGGCGAATATCTTCCTCATTCTTGCCAGCAATAAATAAATGCCATACATCTTCGCCCGGATTACAGTCCTGAGTCCACATCGCCACCTCATTGCTGCGTCATTACAAACGTAAGGAACCAGCAGAAACTGTACCCTAGCTGTTACCAACTCTCTACAGCAGCGTCTGTTAGTCTAGAAAGACAAGAGTGGAACTCTCGTTTAAGTACCTTACTCAACAATTATAACGCTCCTACAGTTCTCTCGCACAGGCACCAAAGACCTAAACGCAACGTTATTTTCTGTTAAACGATGCAGTTTAAACTGGTTAACATTCCGTCATAGGAATGATCATGTAACGCTTACGGCCGACAGGTACTGTGTAAGAGCCGGCGTACCAGAGCAGGTGACGTCACCGCCCTTCCCTGTGATAGCAGACCTACAGCTACTGGGCTGTGGAGAGATCTGTCTCACCGGGCTGGGTTGCTGCTGAGTGACGCGGGAGTCCCGGGTTCGAGCCCCCGACGGTGGGGGGCCGACCTAATGCGGCAAGGGCGCCCGCCTGGGCCCCCGTTGCGATACAATATGCATTTTAGCCTTTCATTCAACCCATGTTAAAGAAACTATAGAAACAAAAAACGATTTAGGGGTTTACTTTTGTAAATCCACTTTCAAGGATGAAAAGATTTTATTTTTTACGCCACGTAAAAAGCAGAAGTTAAACCGGTCATTATGAAAACTCGCCGAGAGCTGCAGTGGTTGAATAGGTAGCGTAGGTTAAATTTTGTACCTCAGTGCTACGCTACTCCCTCTCCATCTTACACCGCCCAGACACAATCAGCAGGTATAACTTGTTTGTTACAAGCATCAGCAGTTTGCTCAAGGCTCGAAGGCTTTTAGCTGTTAACGCAATTTACTGTGTCGGAGAAGAAACCGAGGCGGCCATTTAACATTTTAATGCACGTTGATCAGTATCTTCACAAGCACGAACACAAGAACTCGGGGTCAGCTGCACGTGGTCGGTCAATACGGAGTCCTGTACCATCTCTCGTCTGCAGAACCATTACCATTCACATAGTCCAAAATAAAATGGCTAAAATCCCATTAAAATATTACCAAAACTTCCACTTAGAAAGGTAAAATCGTGAAACGGCAGTAAAACGGAAAATGGCTTAAGACTTCCGAACAGGAGGCTGTTGTTACATCCAGTCTCTGTGCTTGTTGTAATAGTCTGACCTGCGAAGGCCCAAGAAATACATTTTTTTTGTGTGTATTAACTAACCCATTTGGGACACTGAGATGCTGGTTTAAGCAGAACCCACACAACACAAGGATGCGAGAATGGCTCCTTCTCATTGGTAACCTTTCAGCTTCCGTCCAAGGGGACAGAGTTGAAGTTCTAATCGGCGAAAGGCAATATACAAAGGGCACAAAAGCTGGCTTTAACAAAATGAAAACGGCCGAGACAAGACCATAAATACAATGAGCAAAAAAAAAAAATCACAAATATAAAAACGACAAGGTTCTGCGTTAGACTCTGTAGTAAGGGACAAAAGCAACCCGAACCGAGGCAGAAAGAGGGATGAAGAGCCAGCGAAGGGGAAAGCCATGGAGGGCAGGTTCAATCGTGAGGAAAGGGCCGCGGCTGTGGCTCTCGAGCGGCCCCAGGGGCCACAGCACGCCTGCAGCGACAGAACGAACCGCAAGAGCGCATTTACGCCTCTTGTGAGCAAATGGCTTTCAAAAGCTCACGTGACGAAAAATGTTTTAGGAATTCCTCGTGGGCCACCTTGTGTGCCCGGGGGGTGGGGGGGCTCGCAAGCTGCGTGTGGCCCCTGGTGCCCACCACTCATCTAACAGCAGGAGGAGAACGTACAGCAGAAGGGGCAGGAAGGGAAAAGAGAGAAGAAGGAGCAATTGAGGGACCAGAGAGGATGAGGGGCAGACAGAAGTGTGAGAGTGACTGTTGCTAGTGAAGGCTAGGCAGGAGGAAAGTCACATGGCAAGTGTTTCTCCACCCCACCCCAATCACATGACTTTGTTCACCTAAAGACGGCCAGCAATGCAAAAGTCTTTATAGCATTCTCATACTATTTTAGCATGGTTATGGTCAGAGGGGGTAGGGGTTATAAAATCAGCTAAAAAAAAAAAACAACACTTCTTAAAACACCCAGTTAGGAATGACGGGCTCTTCCAGGAAGCCACGGCCGCCGATTTATCTCCAGTACGCGCTGCTCATGGCCTGCAGGGTGCTCAGTCGGTCCGCGGTGCAGGGGGCACTGGACCTGGCTTCCGCATCGTGGTCCCAGCAGTCGCCGAGAATCTCCTCCAGGCTGAAACAGAACTGAGAGAGACGGGCCCGCCTCACCAGCCGCGCCACACACGCCACCGGGCGGCGGCCTTAAGGGCGCCCACAGGTTTTGCCGAGTAAAGCGGTCGAACTGGAGCGGAGACCATGTTGACATCGGGATAATTAGAAGTGCGTCTCTGGGTGGGCTTGAACCACCAACCTTTTGGTTAACAGCCGAACACGCTGACTGATTGTGCCACAGAGACTCACATAGGTGGGCACTAACAGCTGCCTTTGTACAATGTGCTCTCAGTCAGTACATGCTCCCTAGGCTCCGTTTGTGCTTTGCACTTGTCTAGACATTAACCAGATGTCACTCTAATCTGTATTTTTTTCCTACACATATTAGCTAGATTAATATCATTTGATAACTACAAAAAACATCTATAGTATTTGAGGAAAATCATACCGCTCTAGTGCCTTTAGGAGAGTAGATTCAACAGATCCACCATGTTGCAGCTTTGGAACCCTGGATAATGGAGTCCAAATCACCCAGTTTACCCCCAGTGGCGTCACCAGCCATACTTTACCTGGGTGGAGCGTTTCCACAGCTGTGGCACAAAGGGACGTTCTCTCTTCTCGTACACTAGCTGGCGGAAGTCTTCCAGGGTGGGGCTCAGGCCTAGTTCAGCCTCGTAGGGCAGGCGGTACTCCGGGACCCGGGCTCCTGCCCGGAAAACAAAGCCAAGCAAGGGTCAGGAAGAGGAAGTCGAGTGCAATAACCACTGTAATGGCAAGTCTGCATACACCTTCCAGAACGACAATATTTTCTAACCACTTGCACATTTGCATTGAAACCAAATGCTGCAGACAATGGTGCTTTGTCTCTACAGCCCAAGTGCCGACTGATCCACTCAGTTACTCTTTGGATCGGAGCAGCACATTGGGCAAGCACAACACCACGCCCTGTAAAGGTATAATGCAGGAGAAGAAAGTCTCTGTCAACCCTCAGCACTGTCCCATATCCCCCACCCATTTGATCACAGCCAGTTGTCTCAAAAGACAGCTTTCTGGCAGCAACTTTAGGAACAAGATGGGCAGATTTGCGTCCATCGCTTTTCCACATGCAGGCGGCGCACCTCCATCGCTGACACCACTGCGAAGGAGTCACCGTCACCCAGAGCCCCAGCCAGCTAATCTCCGCCCTGACCCAGAGGCATTCGGCCAATCGTGTAATCGTGGTCACAACTGGCTAGCAACGTGATCCAGCCTCGAACCCATGATGCCTGGATTACAGTGTCTGTCCTGTGAGCAAGTAGCATTAAATAGTTGAGTGACTAGGGAGACCAAATTCAGAGCCCCTGACCTGATGGGCAAGAACGGGGATTACAGTAGTCGAAACAGACTAAACTAGGAAGTTAAGGGCTCTCGTAGAATTAGAACCTCTAGGAGTAAGAGTCTGGAGTGCTGATGCAGACAAGTAGTAACAATTCTGGGGACCTGAGCTTGAGACTCCGGTACGGTTGACCAACACCCACTCCTCGTTTCTTGCCCCACCTGGGAAGAGGTCGGTACAGCGCATGGCAATCTCCCACAGCAGCAGGCCCAGGGCGTAGACGTCGGCTTGCTTCAGCTCGCTGCGGTTCCGCAAATTCAGGTGGCCATCCAGGACCTCAGGTGCCATGTAGCGCAGAGTCCCCACCTGAGCATGCACCTGTGGGTGCCCATTGGGCAAGAAGACGGGCTGTCAGTCCCTCATACCTGCCCAAGGTATGCACGCCTCTGTCCTTATTAAGGACTAGTGCACAACAGACATCTTTTACAGGCCAACGAAACAAGTTATAACAGATAAGATCACTTAATAGCCCATACACAATTTCTTGTACTAAGAATTTGTCTTTTCACATACCCCAACTTGCTCTCCATGAGACACACATTCAGGGAGAGATGCTCAAGATATTATGCAACTAGACAATATACCATGCAAAATACAGGGAATGCTTGCCAGGGATATGAGGTTTTAAGAACATGAAGAAAGGGGTTATGAATTATGGGAACTGGACATATGATCAAAAAATCTCTGGTGAAATAACACCCTTTCAGTTTTGAAAACTGGGCCACAGGACAGAACTAGGAAGGGTTGTCATTTTTAAAGATGTACAGCCATGAAGAATGAAATTCCAGATCAAACAGTGAGACTTTGGTCGTTTTTCTGTTTTGCATTGCAGGGCAGGGGGGAATCTGCATCTTCACTCTTGACGCGAGACCTAACAGGTCCAGCCAATGTGTCCTTTAACCTCAGATTAACATCTGACGATCTTAAAGCAATAACTTGCATAGGAACAGGTAGCCGAGCAGCAGTGCAATTGCTATGAACGACAATGCACCAGCACCCACAGATATTGATGGACAAGGGGGAACGTTTGCAATTCGCCTTTTTCAGTTTCCAGCTCTCCATCCATCAGTGCAGATAATGGCCTGGTGCTGTTAAAACACCTACCAGACGGACATCAGAATTCTGCTGCTGTGCCCCAAGGGCAAAAGGGGTATGCAGGATGGTGGAGCTGCCAAAGTCACACAGGACACAGGTACCGTCCGCCTTCACCAACACGTTATTACTACTTAGGTCCCGGTGCACAATGGCGGGCTTGTGAAGTCCTAGCAGGAACGTAGTAGAGAGGGAAGGAGTCACAGAGGGTTTCAGGTTAGCAAACTTGGAGCACAAAAGAGGTACAGTTGACCAGCCGCTTTAAAACCATCAACAACAAAATGTATTACGTCCTCGCTCACCATCTTTGAGGATTTCTTCATGCAGGAAGGTGAGGCCCTGAGCCAGGGAGAAGCCTAGCTTGAGGGTGGCTTCCCAGTTGTTTGTGTTCAGAGACAGGAAAGACTTCAGGGAGCCCTGGACCACAGGGGGGGGAGACATGAATAGAGACACTCATCCTTCCAAGATAAACAAGAGAAATGAAATCACAGATGTTGTACCTGCTGCACATTTGTTTAAAACCTCCTCTATCCAGTGCACACACTATAGCTTATTAGACAATTGAGGAAAAAGTGGATATAGGAAGGCAAATTATCACACAAGGCTCTGAAGAGTGAGGCTGACGAAGCTGCAGGAACTAAACCCTATTTAGCACTACTCCCTGTCCGACTTTGTAAGCTTACCTCTTCTCCAAGGCTTTCTCTTCACAATGAGGGGTTAACCCTCGCTCAGATGACAAAAACCACACCTCCGTTAATGAGTGGACCAACTCGCAGCGAAGAAGTTGAAGTAACTCACATGTTGGGCCAGCTCCAGCAGCAGAAAGTAGTGTCCCTTCTGCGTCCACTCCCCAGCCCCCAAGAACAGCGCGACGTTACCATGCTCCATCATGGGAAGGCTGTACACCTCCTTCTCGTTCCTGTAGAGGTTGCCATACGCCGGGGGGTATATCTTGAATGCCACGGCCACTCCATTTAGGGTCCCCTTCCAAACGTCGGCATAGTGCCCCCTACTCAAGATCTGCAAAATAAAAACACAGCCACAGATTCCAGATGATATTGATTGCTGGGGACATAACATGAAAACATTCCCACAATGATCAAGTTGATAAAATACTACATTATTTTAAGTTTGCATATAGGACTGTGGCCATAGATTCAAAATGGCCCTTTCCTCCCCATGATTCTTCTTGACTGTGCAAACATGCAGTTCCAGCAAGCAGAAGGATTTTGCTCATCCTGGAAATGGGCAGAGGGGGAGACCCCTCAACTGTGGGCCCATCACAAGTGCACCTGTGGCTAATTCTTTCACCAAACACCGGAGGGGTGCAAGGGGCACAAAGACCAAAAGAGAAGAGCAGGCCTACCTGATGCAGCTCCTTCGTGGAGAGATCAATGGGGGACCCTTCATCTCGGTTATACTCGTTCACCAACATGACAGGCTCCTCTGGCACACTGGAGAGCATCACCCTCAACCTCCACAGGAAGCCTCCAAAAAAAAAAAAAAAAAAGGACCCATTGAATCCCTTACATGTACAGTATATAGTGCTGTTCAGTAACAGGAGGAGGACTGGTTGTAGTAATAGATGGTACAAGTACTAACAGAGTAACTGCTACTAGTCCAGGTGTCAGCGACTGGAGCATCAGCAGCTGTAGAAATAACCATTACAGGGGATTTGGGTTTTTTTCTTACTAGGTGACATATCAGGGGAGAAATAAAACTACAGATCTCAGTGGAGAAGGGAGCTGGTTTTTCCCTTCTGAATGAAACAATATTACAACGGCCCGGTGTCACACGCTCGCAGGACCCGTGTGATTTTATGTTCGCCTTGGCAACAGCTTTCAAGAGTGCGAAAAAAAAGAGAGGCAAGACAGGAAAAGGGAGTAGAAGTTTTTGATTTGTTTTTTTTTTTTTGGGCAATGCCAAGGTCAGTGCTTGGTTTGGGAGGATGGAGTGTGGGATTCATCTTTCACGGGCGGCTGTGAGGGCTCACTCAGTAATGGCACTGGGCCGGCCCGCAAGTCAGGGACAGCGCGGCCAAACAGCTGCTTATCAATACGGCGTGGGCGCCCATCACCTGGCAGATGGGAATATCTTCTAAGTGCAGCCAGAAATATTTTGCTCTAATATTTTTCTGCACTACAGAGTCTCTTAGGATATCATTGCTAATGCATAACTTTAACATGCCAAATATCGGGATTGATCAACTACCAAGCTAGCAGGCAAGGATAAAAAAAGACCCCCCTCTTGTCTGGAACTTTTCCCATATATTCTTATGGGCTTGACTGAGCTGCAGGAGTGATGGGCTCCAGAATAAGTTTCCTGTTTTCCTAAACTGTTACAATTGCTCTGTATCTGAGGAGAAGCAATTACAGGTTAAACACTGCTGTATGTGCTCCAAGGCCAACCTGTAACTTAAAACTGTGACACTGCATGTCTGGACTTCCTCTGGCTTTATTTTTGTGGCGAAGATAAAAAGAAAAATAAAAGATAGAACTATGTGTTGTTCTTAATCAGTTCTATAAATGTAACAAGAAAGGAGGGAAGGCTTGACTTGGGGGAGGGGGAGTAGGTTTTCGTTCTTAAAGGAGCTTACCACATTTTTGGACAGCATGCCTACATTTCGTCATTAACATGAGGGAAACCAGCATGATCAACACCATCCCAGCAATGGATAAAACCAGCAGAACTGTGCTGGAATAACCTGGAAAACAACAACAACGAAAAGTGAACAAATCAATCATTCCCTTAAGAGACTCGTCTACAATATGAGCTGTCAGGGCATGAAACCGCTCCAGCAATCGGTGTAAAGACAGCAGAGGGCACTATCCTTCACGGTCACGTGGTGAAATAGGTGCTCTATGGTTTATGAGGAACAAGTGCACGAGTGCTGACAGGGGGCAGGTGTGGGATAGGGAGGCCAGGACTCTTGATTCCATCAATATCAATTGCAGAATCATTTGCACATCAACAGCGAACCTGTTGATTTACCCCAGCACCTGGAGTGACCTCAGGGAGTGATCTGCCACTCCTTCAACCCGCACCAGCCCCCCCCTGTCAGGGCTCGGGGGAGCTCACAGACGTGGCAGTCCGATCAGAGCCGCCTCCCAGGCCTTCCTTCTTCCCTCCCTGGGGGCAATTATCAAGCACTGGGAAATAGAACAGTCGAGTATGCCAACGGACATAAAACAAAACGCAGAGAAACTATAACTTCAAGTAATGCATGCGGTCTGTCGAAATTACAAGGGAACCAAGGCCAAGCCCGGAGCAAAATAACACCCTTCTCAATTTTCTCCCATTGACTTATATTGAAACTTGTCAGCAAATATCCTTTCCACCCATTTCCAAAAAGGGAATTTTATACATTACACTTTGGTTTTCATATATCACACCAAAACAGGCCTACCGTTGTCCCAAAGCCTCAATGTACACACTTGTCTTAGATCAGCAATAGCCAGTAGATGGATCTGTGGGAGATGTATTGATTCTGTATCAGTCTATTTACAATTACTAATATACAAGCGTGTGGCAGCTTTGTATTTGATAAACACCTTGCATCTTAAACCAGCTTTAAATGCTTTGTTACACATTTCATCAAGAAAGCACCTTAAGATGCATTGATATTCTCCATCCTAGACACTGGGTTTATGGCTACTGGAAAGACGAGCATATCTGACTACATTTCATTAGAAAGCCCTCACAGAACAAGCAGGAGCAGTTAATCTGGTAAATGCATAACCAAATGTAGCACATTATTGTAAAGTTGTGGCAAAGCAGAAAGTGGTATGGTAAAACAGGAGTTAGACTATTGTCAAGGCAAGCATGTATGCATGCATGCATGGTACTTCCATAAATGAAAATTAGCTGAATATTAATTGCAATTTTTAAAGAAACGTTTTATGTTATACCTATTTGAGTGACAGTTCATGGGTTTTTTTTTTTTTTGGGGGGGGGGAGGTGTCTTTCGCTGGAATTAAACCGGTTTCAGGGGGGGGGGGGGATTATCATGGATGCTTTCCCAGCAGAGCCAAAGGGAAGAAAATAGAAAAAAAAGAAATGGTGACAGAAGTGTGTAATCCCACGTCCATCAGGCACCTGTTCAGAGACAGGAGATAACTGAGGTATGTCTGTTTAACCTGTCATGGAGCATGCATGTGCCTTAGTGAAGCAGCAATAAACACTTATATAGTAGCTTCTCAAAGCTCTTTACAGTAAAAAGAAAAGTTTAACGGAGGAGGCAATAATGCTAGCCCGATTTGAAAACGAGGGTTGAAAGCAATAGAAGCCCGCACAGCGCAGTTGGAATTTGACCTGAGAATGCACAGTGTACGTTAAAGAATTTTGAAGACCTAATCATGAATCAGTATGGAATAATCAAATCTACCAGCAGATCAAAATAATAGCTGGGAACTCCTGGTAATGCCCAGCACACACTTTCAGGAGAATGGAGAAAATGTCCTATTCAGCCAGCTCAACAGCAACAGTGTCAAGAGCACAAATTAAATGAAATATTCCAGGTGGATAAGTATGTGGATCAGAATGACAGGCACAGTTTACTTCATAAGTAAGCACCAGTGTGGAGTGTGGTTTTAGGATATTGAAGGGTTAGGGTTAATTTCTTTCAATTTATTTAACAGGTAATTGCACTTATAAAGCACTTTACAGGTAATGGGGAATCCCACCACCACCGTTGTGCAGCACCCACCCGGATGACACAACGGCAGCCAAAGTGCACCAGTACACTCGCCACACATCAGCTTTCACTGAGGAGGAGAACTACTGTCTTTATGTATAAATTCTGGCCATGACAGACATGACTCTTTGCACAACATGTCTATATCTTGCAAAGCAACAAGTAATAGGTTTATTCCATGCTGAAAAGAGAAGAAAGAAAAAAACATTTCACCCATGGAGCCTTCTTCAGGTGTCTTGTCAAGGATACAGCTGTGCCCCCTACTGGGGTTTGAACCTGCAACCCTCCAGTCAGAAGCCTGATGCCCTGGTCCCCGCTCTAGAAAATGCCTGGCAAGTATGGCTCATTGTGATCTTGATCTTGAAGTGTGTACTATGCGTGTACTACCTCTGCAGTGTCGAACATTTTAAACAGACCTACGCTAAGAGGCCTGGGTCGTGTCTGGGAGCAGAACTTGAGGAGTAACGTACTCTGACTGAAGGGGTCAGTAGCGTGCTCGCTCTCCGGCACCCAGGTTATGTTGCCATTGCAGAAGTCCGAGTTGCACAGACATGATGTGAAGTTGTCGTTCACAGATGTGTAGGTGCACTTTGCCCTGGGACACCTCGCAAAGCTGTAATTGTAGCAACCTTCCAAAAGAAACACACACATGGCACGGTCCAGTTTTGTTGGAGCCATAGACACTTCCGTTAAAATACAAAGCTATTGAAAAAGAACATGCTAAATGCATCTCATTATGACCTGATTGATGCTCTATAATAGTACTGGACTATCATTCCAAACATCTACAAGAAATGTTAAAAAATTATCCAGAAGCTGAAGCAATCCATTTGGGGACTAAGCAGAGAAATTCATTGCCTTCTCTATCTATTTATCCATTTCCTAACCACTTGATCCAGTTCAGGGCTGCGAGGAAGCTGGAGCCTATCCCAGCAAGCATGGGCCAATTGCACAAGGCAGGGTACACCCTGGATGGGACGCCAGTCCATGCCAGGACAGACACACACACCAGGGTCAATGCTCCCAGAAGCCAAATTAACCTACCAGCATGTCTCTGGACTGTGGGAGGAAACATCCATGTGAACCTGGGAGAACGTGCAAACTCCCCACAGACAGCACCCCTGGACAGGAGCTCGGTGCCCCTGTGCTGCGAGGTAGCAATGCTAACAGCTGCATCACAGTGCCACCCACTTGCCTTCTCTACTAGAAATGTATTGAAATGTAACCAGCTCAACCAAGATCATAACCCCGTCGCTGTCCCATTCTGAACCTCTAGTCTTACGGTTTGGTACCCCGTCATTAGGTAAGACGAACACTCTCCCCCCCATCACACAAAAAACAGTTTAGATTTCTCTCTCTGCTTAAGTCCTTATTTTCGTGCTGGACGAAGCGTGAACAGGAAAGCCCACTACAGTAAACTAAGCTGGCAATGATGTCCACAACTGGCCCGCAGGAAATCCAATCCGGCTCGGTTTTTGAAGCGCACCTTCAAAGTTAAATTACAGAAAACGAGGAGAGGAGAGCTACGAACTAGCGCGTCCCCCGAGGGGGGAGCAGAAGGCCGGCCGGAGGCGCCCGGCGCTGTCTTACCCAGGCGCTCCGGGCGCGCGACCCCGTCGACGATCTCGAAGAAACCCACGCAGCATTCGGAACGGGAGCAGTGCTGCACGGGGCCGCTGATGTTGTCCGCGTCGCGGACGTCCGTCGAGGTGAGGTCTCGGACAAAAAAACACGTCCTGCCCTGCGCGCTCCCTGCCAAGGAGCGGGAAGACGCGCAGATGCGTACTGGTACCAAACGGACGGGGCATTACTGGACATTTACCGTGGCCGATAGCCAAAACACACACACACACACACTTCCGATTTGATTTTCACAGAAAATGAAAGCAAAGGAAATCCACCTAAAAACACCCTGCCCACCTCACAGAATACGTGTTAATAAGGAAATCCGCCTTCACAGGCTTTAATTTTAAAATTACGCCGCCACATTAAGTGTTAACGTGCGCATTCATGCCGACATTCATATCAACTGTATAGCATACAACATGCATATGGGCGTCAACGAGATACTGCTCATAACACTGTTTTCATCTATTGGCAAGCTTGGGTGCGATTCAGTCAGAATAGTTAGTAGCGGCAGTGGTACAAATCACTACAAAGGTGGTGGTTATTTCCCTAGTCAGCGGATTCCGAAACAAGGAGCAGAGACACCACCGGAGAAGGGGAGAGGACTCGTCCCACCCCGAGCGGGACAAGCTCACTGAAGAAGGGTGGTCTAAAGAAGAGAGCCTTTTCAGTCCTCTCTGCCAGCCTGTGAACATCCCACAAGCAAGGACTGACTAAAAATAAAATCGCTTAAAGACATGCTTCAGCTCTTACTTGCACCTGACGTCTTTTCACCTCTCGTGATTTATACTTGTGCCTGCGCTGTTCTACCGTTTTTATATACTTGTATTTTGAAAAATAAAAGTCTACGTATTTTATTCGAGTTTTTTTTTTCTGGTGCGGGATTGACTTTTTCGTTGCTGAACTATGTCGCGCTCTAAAACGCGCGTCATGAAATGGGTTTGATTGCCAGCCTAGATCAGGCACGAACAACCCGTCAGGCTGTCGCAAACCGGCACTGACTCTATGAAATCAATCGACACGTTTGATCGACAGAGAATCGTGCAGCTGCGCTAGATCCCGGCTTTCCGCGTAGACGACCCGTTGCCTGTAAGCTGCTGGGTTTCGTCATTGACCAGGAAAGCCGCAGCCAAAAACAGTTCCCCGACGATGAAAATACACAGTTCAAGACCCATGCACTGAAGGTCGTGTTTTCCCCACACACTGGGCACTGAAATAAAACAGTTTGGAGCTCCCGAGCCAAACAGTAACATCAACAAGAGCGTCTTTCACATGACCCCAGATCCAGTTAAACACCATTACCCGTATTCGCGTTTCCAAGTCCTTATTAGAACTTAATTAAACGCGTTTATGCTATGAAACAAGGGATTTCAAAACTAACGGCGATTTAATTTGATAAATCAACTTCAAAGCCCAAAAGAGTACTTTTCAGCACGAATAAATTGCGTTCTAAACCCTATGTCGCTTCGGGGAAAGAAAAACTCACGACAGGCTAAAATGTGAATTCTGGCTGGAGATTTTTTAAAAAAAAAAATCTGTCAAATGCTCCAGCACACAAGCTTCGTTTCATGAACATTGTAAGCAGTTGGAGGCGTCTTCGCTTCTCAGCTTTTTCTTTTGGACAGTGTCAGTTTGCAATGCTGGAACCATGACACTGCAAAGAACCAAACAGGGAAGGTAACTTACCAAGAACTGCGACCAGTATCACCCCAAACGCAGCTGTGTGGGAACAGGGGCTCCTCTCCCGGGCCGACATCGCCGTGGGGTCCGGGCGCGACGAGCTCACCGGGGTCTCGCGCGCAGAAGCTAGCAAGGGGCAGGCCACTCCCACGCGCGCGGGACACCTGCGAGTTTCCCCTGCGCTCAGAGCCAGAGAAAAGACGCACGAAGACCCAACTTCGCTGAGCTCTTGAACACAGTTCAGTTCACCCGACCAGAGCAGGTAGAATTACGTGAACACCGTGGTGATATACACATACAAGATACGCACTCGATTCATATATTATAAAATGCTTCGGCTGCTGTGCCAAGCGACTCTGGGAGGGTATGTGTACAAACCAACGTGAGCACCTGCTTGTCAGCGAGGTATACGACAGCAGTCGTGGTAAAACATCTCGCAAGAGGCTGTAAAAGAATTTTCAGCCATTTCCCCATCTAAATTGCATTTTCTTTTTGTCGTCTAAAATACGCAATGCAGGAATATCTATCACATATAGCAAGAATCACCGAACTTTAAACCCAATTCAAATGCTTAACTTGATGCAGAAATGTTGATAAGTGGGTTGACTTTGTCCGGTACTCACTCTCTCAAGCAGTGACTTCCCACGCCCGGTTCAGAAAGAGTGCGTTCGCTCACAGCAAGAGATGCCGGTGTTTCGTGCCAGGTTGAAGATAAATCCTACTGTCTCTTCATTACCAGTGCTTCCCAGCCCGGGTCCTGCAGGATCACTGCGTGTGCTGGTTTCATTCCAGCTGAGCTCCCCCTCTCCTGTGCTAATTAGCGACTTAATTGGTGTGCTTGTTTTGTTTTAACTTGTTTGGTCAGTAGTAAGTTTCACAATTATGGCACTTAAAGGATTCTGTTTCCAGAAGCTTCAGTACACAAATATTTACACAGTCTATCCTAAACCCGCAGACCAATGTTTCTGACTAAACAGCTCTAATTAACCGGTCAATTGATGATAAATAGACACAGGTGGAAGAGACACGGAATAAGATACGCCCATAGCGGGAGTGGCATCGAATCGGACACGCCCATTTATGGGTGTGTCATTGTAGCAGACGCACTCATAAGAGATAGTGAGATTAAATCGGATACGCCCACTCAGGGGTGTGGTAATATTAGCCACGCCTCTAATTAGTATTTTACCTCCTGCAGAGTGCAGTTGGTTACATTTCAGACAGCACGCCTAAATGAGGGCAATTCTGAAGCTGAGAAATTAGTATAGGGCTGACACCAATGACAAATACCATTTGGCCTTTTAAGAGCTGAAAACAAATTAAGAAATACCCCTCAGCTAGAAAACTGAAATCAATTAGTCCTTGATTGAGAACTGGGAATGGAGAAAAAACCAGAATAGACCAGAAATGTTTCACCAGGACCAGGACTGGGAACCACTGTTTAAGACACAAAACTCAGCGCTCAGAACAGGTTTGATACCCAGGCCAGATCCCTCCCTTTTGATCTTTTAAGAGCTGAAAGCAAATTTCCAAATATTCCCCAAAAAGTAGACTGAAACCAATTAACTTATGATTAAGCAGTCAGGTGAGCACAAACCACCAGACACAGTGTTCCCCCAGAACCAGGCCAGGGAACCACTAAGACGCAAAAATTGAGTGCTCAGAACGCCAGACATATCATTCTATAGAATAGCAAACACCACCGACAAAAGGACTCTCACAGCTGTCCCAGGAAAACGATCCGTATTTATTATCAGTCGCATACTTTGAAAGACCTGGGAAGTTTTAACCAGTAGAAATTGCCTACAGTGCTTAATAAGCACATCTCTTCCCTGGGTTCCTATTGATATAATTAATAACGGCCAATTTAAACTTCGTTACATACAAAACCGTTTCCCGCAGCTTCTTGATCCCAAATCTCTAAGGTCTTTTGGCGCCCCGCAGAGTGCTTTAGTTTTAAACTTTCTTTGTATTCTTTAGGTTTGATCCTTAACTCGTTTTATCAATGAAATCAGTAACTGACATCACAGCAATTGGCATATGTGCGGTCAATCACGCGTTTGTAAATCCGAGCCGAGTCTGATCCTTTATAATGCGGCGGGCAACAGGCTGTATCGGACACAGTTGTGATAAAGGTACACGGGACGGGTTAGAGACATCCCAATAGTTAGTATGGATCGTCAGGTACAGCGCTTTCTTCCTTCCTTCCTTCTTTATAATTGTAAAAGTGGCATCATTTGGACTCGGTGGGCGGTTTGCGTTAGGGGAGAAATACGTGTTTTTAGTTCATCTTGCTATTGTTGTGGGAAACCTTTATTTAGGCAGTATCAGGCTTGCACCGAGTGTATTGCTCGTCGTTTCTTTAAGATCTCGAATTCGTTTTTTAATGAACTTAATACTTCCACTCTTTCACGCGAGCCTTCAGTGAAAGGCCGCCGTTAATTTTATAGGACTGCAGATTCAGGTGATGGGTAAATCATTCTATCTCGGAATTCGGTTTACCTGTATCGGTTTGGGCGAGAATGTCCTTTCTCATGAGGATGTGTAATCGAGCTCTCGTTTTGTCATTTTGACCGGTCTTGGTGAAACATTCGCCTGCTTTGTTGCTGTGTTGTTTTAAAATGCTATTAAGACCATGCACGCGGTTCCTGATCGCTCTTATTTTAACAGATGAATGGCGAACTCGGGGTGGCCTCTCTCTCGAAAGAGCTGGCGGATATCTTTTTGGATGAATCTGATAATGACTGCGAAGAAACATTCCTCGGTTTTTCGGACGGCGATTTGGGCGACCTGAATATTGAGGTAAAGATTCGGATTAGAGCAGTGGTGCTGCTCTGGAATGCAGCTCTTAGACGAAGTGTTCCTCTCTTGCGATAAACTTAGTTACATTTTTCCCTTGTAAGAGGTCTGTACTCAATTACGCTTTTGCAAAATTATTCATATGAGCTGTTTTTGAAGATGGGGTGGGGTTTGGCATTTATTGTACTTTTCATTTTTAAATAACTCAGATTTAAAGCCAAATACATGATCTCGGGTCCTGGCGCACAAAAACGCATATACTAGTGATCAAAAACGTCTTTTATAATACCGTGGCTATTCTGTAAGAAGAAACACAAGGGATGGCTAAATTATAGTCCGACGTTTCGGCTGTAGGGCCTTCTTCGAGTGTGTTTCTTTCCTTCTTTTTATCATGGAACAAGTAAAAGTTTATTCCTCTGCAGCCTACGCATGCTGACGCAGGTGCCTACTTGAACAAAAATATAATCCTACAGAAATAGTTCCAGAAAACATTCAACCACCCAGCCAGCTGTTTGATCCTTGTAACAGTTAGGCTTGGCTCCGATTTTGTCCCAGCCAGGTAACATGTATGAACAGTAACGTCCTCATATGTGCGTGGAAGAATAAAATGTAAAAGCCTTGGAGCTCGTGTGCTCCTTTCCACCTCAGAAAGCCATAATCTGTTCTCTGTGCTGTACAATCACTTCTATACTCCTCTCTCCCCCAGACTTCTGACAGTGATGATGAGTGTGTCAGAGCTGCCCCTTCTGACCCCGACCCCAATCCTCCACGTCGCTTTGTCCTCAGGGTTGCTCTGCGTCCACGGGCTTTCCTGCCGAGCAGCGAGGAGGAGGAGGAAAAGGAAGAGGAAGAAAAAGAAAAAGAAGACAAGCTGCCCATCTTCGCCACTCCCCATGCGAGCTCCAGCTCGGAAGATGAGTCCCACCTCACGTTCCTGGAGAAGCGAGCCATGAACGTCCAAGCTAACAAGGCCATGGTGAGGAAGGGGTTAAAGCCGTCTGCCTTCTTGCCCCTGGGGAATGCCCCTCAGCTTGCCCGCCTCTCGTGCCCAGCTCCTCTTCTCAACTGCACTGGCGAAAGGGAGAAACACAAGCTGTGTGCGCGCTAGAACACAGAGCCCTCCGCTGGTGCATTCTTAAGAGCATCGTCGCTGGAGCGAGAGCATTCAGCACCTCGAGATGGCCCGTGCCTCACTCCTTGCAAGAGCTCAGAACAGTGAAGCCAGAGCCAGCCAGCCCTGGTCTGGGATAGCCCCAGTCTAGCAGGCCTTATACTGCAGGCCCTCCTCCACTTGAAGAGACTGCTTGTAAAGAATACATGCTTTACAGTACAGCCTAAACGTGCTGTTTAAGCTAATTGATCCTTCTAAATAGGACATAGTCTTGTATAGACCACCGGGTGGCATTGCAAAAAGCATGGGTCTCCAATAATGCCTTGGTATGTTGTGCTGCACTGTTATTTTATCGGGGGGTGGAGAAAAGAACAGCTGTTGGCTTTTATTGGAAGTTGTTGTGCTGACCGCTGGGCCAGTGGTATTGATAAATGCAGTAATATGTTGGGCCAGTGGTATTGATAAATGCCTGGACAGAGGGCAGATGGGCTGGAGCTGCATGTGCCCACTTAGAGAGTCACATCTGGTTCCCGGCTCTCTCTCAAAGCCAGGCTCCTCAAGGTTAATTTGCAAGATTATCCATTGTGTGTTTTTTTTTCTTTGATGCTGGGGAAACTTGTTCTGCCAAATATCTTGGCTTTGCAAGGTCGCGTCTGTAAACAAGTTAGATTAAAAACCACTTGGCTTGGGATCGCCTGAAGCTCCCTTCTGAAAGCCTGTCGGGAATAATAACTCCCAATTCCACAAAGCCCACCACTGGGCGCTGACCTTGAAGAGCGTGATTCTAGGGGGTGGGGGCTATGGGAGCTATCCTGAGGGCAGGAAGGGTGTGTCACACCCCTCCACAGTGCAATAGCACCTCCAGCCTCCATGACCATAGTGCCCGAATTCTACACTACTCCAATCATCGAAACTGGTGATTGCTCCACTGCTTCTTGCCTGTTTATGATTGGCTTTTAATGCTCTGTAATGAAACAAGGTTCTTGCGTGTGCGTGTGCGTGTGCGTGTGCGTGTGCGTGTGCGTGTGCGTGTGCGTGTGCGTGTGCGTGTGTGTGATTAAGAGACGCTACTCTCACGGAGCACCTTGAAACCAAATTCCAGGGGAAACCTCGGGGCAAGACCCGTGGGCCAGGAAGGTTGGAGCACTAACCCAATGAGCCCGATGGATCTCACGGCCTCCTTGTTTGGGGAACCTTCTTCTCTGCACAAGTGCCCTACCAAGCCAGTGGGGTTCCTGCCAAATGACACCTTCTTGTTTCTGCATTCTGTTTTCCAAGCTCGCCCAGTTGATGGCCGACTTGAACAACATGCCTGGGTCCTTCCTGAAGTCGGGCTGTCCCGTGGAGAAAGGGCCTCGCGCTGTAAGTCAAATGGGGTCCCTGAGCCCGTTCAAGTCATCCCAGTTTTTAACAGTGGCTTCACCTTGCCGTTGCTATCCCGCCAGGCCTAGTCAGACAACGAGCATATGCTTGTCAATGCAGACTTCTTCTTCCTGAGGCTTTCACTACCAGGAAGAACTGTTTTAAGGGTTTGTTCTCCAATTCCATAATTTGTCCCCTAGGCATAATACTTTTATGATTTCATCTTCCCTCCCCCAACATTCACCCTTTCTAACTACTTCTTCCAATTCAAGGTTATGGGAGAGCCAGAGCCTATCCCAGCAAACAATAGGCACAAGGCAGGGTACACCCTGGAAGGGACACCAGTCCATGTTGGGACAGACGCACTCCCTCACGCCAGGGACAGTTTTCCCAGAAGCCAGTTAACCTACCAGCACGTCTTTGGACTGTGGGAGGAAACCCATGGGAATGCAGGGAAAACGTACAAACTCCACACAGACAGCACCCCAGATCTGCAATTGAACCCAGGGTCCTAGTGTAGCAAGGCAGCAATGCTAACCACTGTACCACTGTGCTGGACACCCAGCCCTTTGTCAAGGACATAACCCAACTGTGTGAAATCTGATTTTCTCCAAACTGTTACAGTTTGAGGTCCGGACCTCTGTGGAAACTGAAGAATAAGACTTGGCTGGTTCATGAGTGCATGTGTATTACTTGCTGAAAGTGATGTGCAGACGTCGGCCTACCATGCTACCCACTAGGCATCTCTTTCCCTGTCCCCGCAGAAGTCGAAACGTGCTCCCCGATCCTCGCTTTCACGGGAAGGGGTGGAGCGGAGGAACCCCGAAAGGGCTTCTCGCAGGCAGACGCGCTCCATGGGGGGCGTGACCCGCTCCCCTCCCCTGAGCGAGACCCTCGAGCTGCAGCAGAGCCTGGGGGAGCAGCTGCTGGAGGTGACTGTCCGGCGGGGGGCAGCGGGTCACAGGGAGGGGTGCCCACCTAGAGCAGGGGCAGTTGGTCCCGTTCCAGTCCGCTGCATTTCTTCGAGCTGTATTGAAATCGCTGGCCCTTCATTATTTAACGGACTGTGCTGTTGGAGATCCCAAAGACGAGTAGGCAAGTCTTCATTCCAGTGTGTAAGCTAAACCTAATGAATTGGCAAATCTTGGAGATGAAGTGATTTTTAAAATCTCTTGTGAATGTGTACTTCTCTGATAAATGACCTGTACCAACAGCTGTTCCTATTTTGATGGGATCCTCTCGGTGCAGGATTTTTTTACTATTTCTTTATTGCTTAATGGATACACTCATCCAGGGTCCCTTACAATCCAGACAATCAGTACTTACTTGATTCCTAATGGAGGAAAGATCATACATCGACAAATTACAACACTATCCTCATACAAAACTTGCAAGTACCTAGCAGTGAGGTGATTTTGAAAAGGAAATTCAGAGCTGGGCTCCCCATTCTTGGCCATGGTGGGCTGGGGTCTTTAGAGTTCTCAGTTCCAGCTGAGCATTTGATGACTTATATTGTTGTTTAACTGGTCCAATTGCTCCTTGAATATTTTCCAGGTCGGTAGGGGCTCCTTCTCTAAAGGGAGGGGTAAGCGATGGTGGGTAGAGGATGAAACTGTACAAGCAGTGTTGCAGATTCCAAGTATTGGGCAGCTGTAGGGCAGTTATTTGGAGATGCCTGAAAATGGGGTAGCAGCAGCAGCAGTGCATATAAAGATGTGATCTGATCACACCTGTGATTGGCAGAGCTGGCTTGGGGGGTGTGGGGGCTGCACAGTTCTGATTTCTTTAGGCAGGGCACCAGCAAGGGGGCAAGACTGGAGCAGGACTGGCCCAACAAGCTGATCCAGTGTTTCACCCTGCTGCCCTAATACAGGGGTCCCTGGTCCTGGAGGGTCCAACTCCCCTGCTGGGTTTAACTCCAGGCCAGATTAATTCAGCTCAACCATTTGGAACAGTTGCTTGTGCTGTAGTTAAAAGGGCAGCTTCCAACATTTTTTGGGAGCTAAAAATGAACTGCATCGTCTGCAAATCAACAGCTCAATGAAGGGGTCAGCTGTGTCCCTGAGAGGCTGGCTGGAATGAAGTCCAGCAGGCGTGCAGGGCTCTAGGACCGGGTGTGGGAACATCTTTCCTAGTGGATCGGTCACGGACCCGTCGGCTTCTTCAGGTTTCTGCTGCAGCCAA